TGGAAAGACGCGGAGGGTGCCCACGCTGCGCGGGCCGGTTAACGGCTCGGCAGTGCCTTTTCCCCGCCCCGGGGACCACGCTCTGTCTCCCTGGGCTCCATCCTCCTGCCCAGGCTCGAGCCCAGCGCGGGGACGCCCCGCAGGCGGGCTGGGTCTCCGAGGGAGGGAGACACCACCCGGATTTGTTGGCAGCAAAGCCCCGGGCGACAGAGGGAAAGCCCTGAGAGCCCTCTGGGGCAGAGCTTCAAGTGCTTTCTGTGGCTGAGATGAGGACTTCCTGCGGAGGGCGCCCGGGTGGTCGTCCCCCTGACGACGTGCAGGCTGCACAGGGTTAGGCAAAGAGCAAGGTGAACTGAATGCTGACAGTGGGCCCAGGCCTGTGCAAAGCATTGTGTGTTAGCTGGACTCAGCTTCCATGTGCAGCTTTTCTGTTGTTTCAGATAAACTGCAGCACCACGTTGCTCTTTTCCTTAGAGACTGGGAAGAGAGGAAGAATAAGGGAATCTGTCTATTTGGTGACATTCTGTGATCCTAAACCGGTACCTTGTCAGACATTTAGTAATTCACTTCCGGTTTCTCATCTAATTGGAATAATTGCCTAGAAAGATGAAAATAAATACTGTAGTTGCTCTGATAAAGTCTTCCATTTTGAGAGTTGACAACAGACCTACTATGTGGTAACCACCTAATTCCAGGTAGACTGCTGCTGTAATTGGTATGCTAAAAACTAGATGGCAGTGTTCTGTTGCTTATTTTCTTACATTACAGCATAAATAATGTTTTGGCTTAAAGTGTTAAATCTACTTATTTTAGTTATATTGTTATTCAAAAATAAACAAGTACGTTTTCATAGCATTAAATGATATTTTTTCAGCATTTATGTGCTTCAAATAAATATATTTATTTAATGATTTAGTTGTTTGCAATGTCATTTAAGTGAACAATGTATTCTTATACTGAATATTCTGCCATTGTCTATTAACCTTGCCACTAAACAAAACAGAAAAGCCTCTTGATGAAACTACTTATCACTTTTTAATAGAAAGCAGAAATTAGACGATGAAATGAGAAAATGCAAGGATCATAATGAAAGTTCTAGTGTTTAATAAGGAAAATATTTCTGGTCTATTACTTGCTAATGGAGAGTTGCTATTATATGCTACTTTATTATTACACACAAAGATACTTCAAAGAGTTTGTGGAAAACTGTTAGTAAAAATAAATCTACTTGGGTACAAAATTTTTTGAGATTCATGGTTTTTTCATAATATACATTTTCTATGAAATTCTGAATATTTCTTGTGCATAGTCTAAAGATACATATCAATTTTATGTGTGTATTCAGATCCATACATGGATATGTGATATATGTGTGCATCACTCTCTCTCTCTATATATATATATATATACATATTGCTTCTAAGGAATTGGCTCACATGATTGTGGGCACTGCGGAGCCCACAATCCATGGGCAAGCCAGCAGTCTGTAGACTAGGAAGAAGTGATGCCTCAATCTTGAGTCCAACAGCTAGAAAGTCAAGCAGAATTTCTTTTTGGAACTCTGCAGACAGAATTCTGTTTTCTTGCAACTTCAGTCTTTGGCCTTCAACTGATTATATGAGACCCGTAACATCAAGGAGAATTATGGTAATCTGCTATACTGAAAGATTATTGATTTAAACTGCAAGCACAACTAGAAACTATCTTCATGAAATATCTAGACTTGTATTTGGCCAAAAAAGTGGTTACCATAACATACCTACATTGACACATAAAGTTAACAGTCATATCCCTTTATTTCTTGAAACATTTCATATAAATATCTAGTTACTGATTTTTTTTATCTGGACCCACTGCATTTAATTTATTTACAGATCCTGTTTATAATATATCCTGAACCCAAGTACTTTTTCCCATTCTATAGATAGCCAACACCCTGGTTAGAGTCAATGTCCCTCTACTTTGTCATATTCTTCTACTTTGTTTCTTTGCATCCATTCTTATTTTACTGTAATTTATTTTTATGCAGCTTTCTTGCATACAATTTTTTGTTAATATAAAGAGAACAGATTTCATGCATTTCATAGGTACAATTCTAAGAAGACAACCATATTGCCATCCCTCCCTTTCTGCCTCCTTCAATTCCCTTTTCCTTCGTTTTCTTTCTCTAATTTTTGCAAAAAACATAATTTCAATACACTCTATAATTGCAGGATTAATGCGTCACTAGCCATAATATTCAACAAGTAAAAAGTAGAATTTCCACAGGAGTATAAACAAGGGCTAAAAATGACACTCATCACAGGTAATATAAACTTCGGAGTCCAAGGTATGGCTAACAAGGAACTTTAAAATCTTACCATGGTTAACCCTCCAACCACTTTTTTTGCATTTTTTTCTAGTTCAGCTGCATTTCTTTTTCGCTGCATCCATCAGCTTGATTCTCTGTACTTGCTGTTCCCTTTGTCTGCCATGTTCTTTCCAGAGTTCTCCTCAGTGAAGTCTTCTCTGTTGACACTATGTCCCCTACCTGGCAGTTTTCTTCATTGCGTTAATTGCTAGCGGAATTTACATTATTGATTTCTTCAACATTAATCTGCTGTATTCCATTGTAATCTTCACCAGATCAGCAGCATTTTTTATTCACTGGTTTATTTCTAACACCTGTGGTACTGAACCTATAGCCACTGAAAAACAATTTATTGGGTGAATACCTGAAAAAATTAATTAGTACTTTGTAAAACAGATTTATCTATTTTATTTGAGAGACGGAGAGGGAAAGGGAGGGGGAGCAGGAGTGGGGGGAAGGGAGTTTTACTAGCTATTCCAACAACATCAGCCCATATACTTATCTTTTAATTCTATTTTTTCCATAAAAATTTTAAAGTGTACTTGTAATATATAAAACTAAACTTTTTGAGAACACAAGCTATATTACTGTATTTTATTTGTCATATAGCTCCAAGAAGCTAAATAAATGTTCTTAATTCAGTCAGTGATTTGAAAGGAAAAGCTGGGTAGCCTTTATGTATTTCACTTTTTCTAATATTGGGTATATTGGTAGATAGTAGGTATTCAGTGGATGATTGTTGAATACATGAATGAATGAATGAATGAATGAACAAGTAAATGAAAACTTAAAAGTTGAGTTTCAAATGCAAAGTTATTTTGATCTACCAAATGAATAATATTCTTACTGCCAATTTAGTTTAATTTTGCTTATAGAAAAATAGAATGGCTATAGTAACAGTAAGACTTTCATAGAACAATGAATTGTTTTGAAAATTCTAAAGTACTTCTTACACAGGCAATACATAATCCAAGATTATTGCTCTTATAAAAGATGCTTTAACATCTTTGAATTGTGTAAGTGTGAAATTTTTTAAAAACCATGTTTCTAGTGATTTAGGAAGCTATATATTCGGAAATACGGAAACAATTTAAGTGGACTAAGTCTAGGCCCCAAGAATAGATAAGGGTATGTCCTTATATTATTTTCTTGAATATCTATTTGAGTAATGGCCATGCTTAGGTGGGCACTACAATTTTTTAAAGTGTTTGATAATTTTTATAAGTTTATGTTTAACTTATTTTTTTATTTTTTCTGTTTATTTTTGCTTTTCTTTCTGTGTGAGGGTAATAATAGATGAATTTTATGTAGTGCAGGGAAGAAACGGAATGAGTACAGCACAGCCACTGAGTTCACTGTTTTTGCTTTAAAAATATTTGAATGTTTCCTGGAAAACTGCCTTCAATCTGCAAATTTAGATGTGTATGTTTTTAGGTGAGCCAATTTTGAAAACATACTACAGATTCGAAAAACAACATAGTTTTATTCACATTGTATTAATCAGCTTTTTATTACTTTAAAATATTTAAAAGGGGCTTCTCTCAAAGGAAAAGGTTTACAGTTTGGAGGTTCACAGCTCAAGTACACGTGCCCATTGGTATGGTGTGATGTGAGGCTGTTAATGTTGGAGGCAGTGAAAGAGGATTACATGCGGGGGGGGGGGCACGGAGAGAGGGAGAGAGAGAGAGGGAGACACGGAGAGAGGGAGAGAGGAAGAGAGAAGCAAAGTCAAAGGAGCTTGAGTACCTAACCCTTTTACAATAACAACCGTCTGAGGGCAAGCCCACAATGACCTAAAGATCTACACTGGGCCTGGTGTTGTGGCTTAACAGGTTAAGTCAGGGCCTGCAAAGCTGACATGCCATTTGGGTGCAAGTTTGAGTCCCGACTGCTCCACTTCTGATCCAGCTCTTTGATAATGCACCCAGGAATGCAGCAGAAGGTGGCCCAAGCCCTTGAGCCCGGTACCCACTTGGGAGACCCAGATAAAGCTCCTGGCTTCTGGCATTGGCCTGGCATTGGCATTGACTTGGCTCAACCCCAGCCTCAGCAACTGGGGCCATTTAGGGAGTGAACCATCAGATGGTTCCCTCTCTGTAATAAACAAACAAACAAGCAAAAAAAAATCTTAAAAAATTAAACAAAAAAGATCTTGCATAGACCCCATAATTAGATCAAATCTCCATACCAATCCATTAGCCATTAGCATTTATCCATTAACTGCTAACATAAGACTAGAGTTTAAGTCTCCATGGGTTTGGGAAGACAAGTCCTGATCAATCAATAACAGAATGTAACTTTGGAAATATCTTAAACCAGCACTGTCCTTTTATGCTTGAAGAGTTGATGCCCAGAGACATTGTGTACAGAGCAAAGATAAATATTTTTGGCAGAGTAAGGAGTACTATAGATGCCTGTTGATTTCTAGATCTGTGCCTTTTCTGTTACATCAACATTTAAAATTTTAATTTTACATATACAGCATTTACACACATATATACACACATGTATACAAGTACATATGTAATGTATTTGTATATTTGTGCACATTTAAAGTAATATTATATCTATGTTTGATATCTGTATGTCTATTTGTAAAAATACTGTAGTTTTGTCTTTATAGGTAATTGTAAAATCCTTAAAATATCAAGCTGGGTGCTAGACATACATTAACTGCTGCTTTCTCGAAGATGAAATAATTCAAACAAACGAAGAATTGCCGAGGTGGATCCGCGCCGGGCTTTGGCTCTCTCCCAGGCACGAGAGACTGGTGAGCCTGCTCCAACCCCTGCCAGGCTCCAGCGGCGCCGCGAAGCCGCTCCCCTCTGAGGCTCTGGGGCTTGCCGCAGAAATTTCAACCCTTTTGGCTTTCGGGTGAGATTGCGAGCCGGAGAGATTTCAGGGCGCACAGGAAACGCAGCTTGGAGGCGGGAGGTTTTGTGGAAGGAACGAAGGGTTTGGACAGCTTGGGTTTTTGTTTCAGGAAGTGAAAGAAATTAGAGACAGCGTGAAGCCGCCTGTTGCCAGGCAACCTGCGGACGCCAGCTGGGGCTGAAGTGGAATTGCCCTCTTTTACACTTTTCCAGGTCTCCTGCTCTGGTTCTGGGCTTTCCTGAGCTTGTTGGGTCAGCTCACAGTGGCTTCCCTGTGTCGCCCACCCGTCCAGGGGTCCCAGGTATGAAAGAATGGGATTTCCTTCTAGGACATTGCAGGTGCCATGAAGTATAATTTAGTTTGGAGAGGAGATGACGTGGGGGCAAGGAGGATTATTCTGCTTTGCTGGAAATTAAGAATATCAGGTTCAGTTCGGATCCTCAGTTTGTTAGCACATAGATGTGGTCCTTTTCCTCATTAAGCCTAAATACTACATTGTGTTGACAAATCTCTTTTCTCTCTCCTTGTATATGAGCTTGATTAGATCAATTCATTCTTTGGGTTCTATCAAGCTCTAATTTGGATTAAGAGTATAATAGCCACTAATATTACTAACCAAGAGAGAAATGAAGATCAATGGAATTGGAAACCATAACAGTTTAAAAATGAGGGAAGTGGAAGTGAGTTAAATTCTTCTGTTGGCTAGCACTAAAGATGCTAACAACATTTATTAAATGCTAACAATGACCATGTCATGACTTGAAGCAGTTTGAGAGTGGACAGAAGCGGTTCCCTCTAACTGGCATCCCTATCCCAACTTGGTGGATATTCAGTGCTTTAGGACAAGCACAACCTTTGGAAAACATTCCAAAGATTGACTCACAACTATTTGTTTGAAATTGTTATTTTTTCCAAAAAGTGTATTTCAGAGGCGGATGGGAGAGAGATGTAGGGATAGAGAAGGAGATATCGAGAAATAGGGGGGATAGAGATGAGAGAGAGATGAGAGAGAGAGAAAGAGAGAGAGAATGAATATGCTCCCATGGGCTGCTTCACTTCCTAAATGTATACAGGGAAGCCAGGAGCTGGTAACTCAGTCTGTGTCTATGTGTGTAGCAAGAGCCCAATTACTTGAGCCATCATATGTTGCTACCCAGGGTCTGTATTAGCAGAAGGCTGGAAAATCCAGAGCTGGTTGGGGCATTGAACCCAAGCACTGTTTGGGAAGCAGACGTCCCAACCAGTAGCTTAAGTGCTAGACCAAACATCTACCTCAGAAATGGATTATTGTGCTACCAAGTTTAGATTTCTTTTGTTCTTTAGTTCCTGCAATAATTTCTCTAATTGTTTCATTACCTATTATCAGCAAGGGTATAATACTGGAAAAAGTTCTGAAACCTGTGTGTGAATTCAGTCTCTGCAATACCTGGCAAGCAACATGGCAAAGTAAAATTAATTCTGTGAGCCTCAGGTTGCTCAGTTTGAAAATCAGGTTTGCCGGTGTTGTGTTGTGGTGTAGTGGGTAAAGCTGCTGCCTGCAACGCCGGTATGCCCTATTGGCACCAGTTCATGTCCTGGCTGCTCCACTTCTGTCTTCCTGCTAATGTGCCTGGGAAAACAGCAGAAAATGGCTCAAGTGCCTGGGCTCCTGCACCCATATGAGAGACCTGGAAGAAACTGGGCTTCTGGCTTCAGTCTGGCCCAGCCCTAGCTGTTGAGGCCATTTGGGAAGTGAACCAGCTGATAGAAAAACTCTCTCTCTACCTCTGTCTCTCCTTCTCTCTCTCTCTCTCACTCTCTCACTCTTTCAAATAAATAAATTAATTTTTTAAAAGAAAATACGCAGATTGGGCTGAGTTATCTCTGAAGTCCTGTCCAAATCCTACACAGGTTGAAGTGCCTTGACCTCCCTAATTCTGTACTTCTCAGAGTGTTTCGTAGATGATGACATTGAACAATTTTACTGTGTTTAAGTGAATTGTGTCATGTAATTCTCAGTTAACTCCCATCTGCATTGACAGAACTTGCTTATTTACCAATATTGATTAAGTTTCTACCAATTTCCAAGCTTTCTGCTAAGCCGTGAGGTATAGGCTGAGCAAAACCAGTAGTCCTTGCCTTCAGGAGACTGACTTGCAGTGTAGTATCAAAAAAATAATAGCTACCATTGAATGCCTTAAACTCCATATCTGATTGTTTGAAGACAGAATTCATATGTTGGCATTGTGATTCTCATAATTAGGTACAGAGGAGTGAAACTCATCTAAGAATATATTAAAATATGGGGCTGGGCATGTGGCACAATGATTGAGTCTCTGCTTGGGACACATGCATCCGCTATCAGAGTGACTTGTTTGAGCTCTAGCTCTTTTGTTTCCAGTCCACCTTCCTGCTAATGTGTACTTTATGAGACAGCAGGTTATGTCTCAAGTACTTGAGTCCCTGCCAACTCACATGGAGAACCCAGATTATGTTCTGGGCTCCAAGATTTGGCCTGGTGTAGCCTCATTTGTTTTAGGCCATTTGGGGAATGAACCAGTGGATGCAAGATATTTTTTTGTCAGTCACTCTTTCTCTGTTCCAAATAAAATGAAAAAAAAAAAAAAAGAATGTGTACAGGTATTTGGTGATGCATTTATTTATTGAGTAAATATTTATTAAAGAAAAGAGGGCTCAGTAGATGAATTGAAGGGAATTGTGTGTAAGAATTAGTAAGGAATAGGGATATCTTTCAAGTAAGAAGACTTTTAGAGTCAGCTGCATAGTATCTTCACTTCTCTCAGATTTATGCCTTCTTGATGTCCTCTGTCTCTGACTCTGATCTTGCCGTCTTGCCTCCCTCTTTTAAGGACCCTGGTGGTTCCCTTGAGCTCACTGGAGAGTCCAGGATAATCTCCCCATCTCAAAAATCTTAATCACAACTGAAAAGACTCATAGCCATTTAAAACAGCATTATTTAGATAGTCCAGGCCAGGGATGAAGACCTGAACTTCTGTGGGAACTCTTTATTGAGGCTATCATAGGGAATAAAATAATTACCCTATAAAAATGGACTTTGGTAAAAGAAGCAAAAATGAATAATCACAGGATTTCTTTTCTGTATAGGAGTATTGTATAACTTGTATGTCTTGTTTAAATTTAGAGTCAAATTTATCATTTTATGTTTCAAAGTACAGAATACTGCATGAGAAATACATGAACTTGAATGGATTTAGAGGTTAAAGGAGTTGCTGCTTCTCCTACGAACCAAACCCAGCCATTCTCTGGAAGAAAGAAGCCACTACAAGTATGTAAACTATATGAGTTTCCTCTTGCAGGATGACTTACTTACAATTTTCCAATCCCTCTCCTCAAGTTTTTACAAGTACTTACACTCATAAATATTTAGGATCAGTATTTCCTGGATTTGAATAATGGAAGCACCAAAGTTGAATATTACTTGGTATAGAAATGCTGCATAAGTGCCTCTGAGGAGGGCTTAACCCCCTGAAAATAGAGGCACTGCCACAGTTACTGCGTATGCCAAAACAGGCCTGGGACGGGCACACCCACCCCAAAGGAATGTGGCAGCAGGAGCAGCAGGGGGCTAATGGACGTTAACTGGTACCTGGAGTATTTTCGGGAATTTGTAAATTTGCAGGAGCATCTAAATGGGCCTGTCTCAGGATTTACAACACAGCTCTAATCCCTATGTTAGACCACCAGAACCAATTCCTTTCCCCAAATCCTTAAGTTGATGTATAACCTTGCCTACGTGTCTGCTGGCTTGTAGACTTGCTGGTACCCTCTAAATAAAAGTGGGAGCACATAGCTATCTAGTGGCCCGCTCTTAGAACGGTCACTCCCAAGTCCTGTCTCCTTATTTGATAAACCGCACAACTTGGAAACTCCACTGCTTGAGTTAGTTTTATTTTAAAAAGTTGTTTTTTGTCATATTTTTATTATTTAAGAATTATCTGTACATCTACAAAACGTATGTAAAAAGTAAAAATACTAGAAAGAAGGAAATGCTGTTTTTTCCATAATTTGGATGTACCCTATTAATATTTTGGTGGATTTATGCATAATTGGTACACATTGTAAATTGAATATATTATTTTATCCTATTTTTTATTTAATGTAAAGCATAAACATTTTAATGTAATTTGTAAAACTAACAATACTTTTAAATGATTGTATTATATAATATATATTTATATTCAGAGGAGGCCTAAAAGATAAACCAACTTACTTTAAAACGTACTTTATGGGAGCTGGCACTGTGGCGCAGCAGGTTAAAGGCCCGGCCTGCAGCGCTGGCATCCTATGTGGGCACTGGTTCGAGTCCCAGCTCCCTGCTAATGTGCCTGGGAAAGTAGTGGAGGATGGCTCAAGTCCTTGGGCCCCTGCACCCACATAGCAGACCTGGAAGAAGCTCCTGGCTCCTGGCTTTGGAACGGCTCAGCTCCAGCTGTTGAGGCTGTTTGGGAAGTGAGCCAGCAGTTGGAAGATTCTCTCTCTCTCTCTCTCTCTCTCTGTCTCTTCTTCTGTCTCTCTGTAACTCAGCCTTTCAAATAAAATAAATAAATCCTAAAAAAAGTATATCTCCTTGCTATTATTATTCCAAATGCTGGATACCTACTATTTATCAGTGAAGTTGACGAATGTCTGAATAACTGGTATTACTTAATTCTTACAACAAACCATTGAGGTGGGTGGTATTACTTGCTTGCTTTTAGATGTGGAAGAACTGAACCTCTTAGAGATATTGTGATGTGCCAGGATTTATTTTTTAAAGATTTTTTTTTATTTGAAAGACAGAGTTACAGAGAAAGGTAGAGACAGAGAGAGAGGTCTTCCATCCGCTGGTTCACTCCCCAGATGGCCGCAACGGCCGGAGCTGAGCTGATCCAAAGCCAGGAGGCAGGATATTCTTCTGGGTCTCCCACGTGTGTGCAGGGGCCTAAGGACTTGGGCCATCCTATGCTGCTTTGCCAGTCCATAGCAGAGAGCTGGATTGGAAGAGGAGTAGCCAGGATTTGAACTGGTGCCCATATAGGATGCCAGTGCTGCAGGCCAGGGCTTTAACCTGCTGTGCCACAGGATTTTGAACTCTAGTTTTGACTTATTCTTTAGGCTGAATTGAACTCTCTCCATTATATGAAGGAGTAACTCCTTTGGGGATCTTAAGGTGCATTATGTTGTGGATTAAATCTGAATGCCTCAATAATTTGTATTAAAGCAAAATTTTCTCTTAAAATATCAAATGCAGTATTATGGCTTCCCCCATTCTGTTATTTAGATAGTGTATTATGGATCTTCAGTTTGTTTACTGGTCAGTTGTTAGGAAAAGCTCAAGATTTAAGTTATTTATTTATTTTTTTTGACAGGCAGAGTTAGACAGTGAGAGAGAGAGAGAAAGGTCTTCCTTCCGTAGGTTCACCCCCAAATGGCTGCTACAGCCGGCGCACTGCGCCGATCTGAAGCCAGGAGCCAGGTGCTTCCTCCTGGTTTCCCTTGCGGGTGCAGGGCCCAAGGACTTGGGCCATTCTCCACTGCCTTCCCAGGCCACAGCAGAGAGCTGGACTGGAAGAGGAACAACTGGGACAGAACCGGCGCCCCAACCGGGACTAGAACCCGGGGTGCCGGTGCTGCAGGTGGAGGATTAGCCTAGGGAGCTGCGGTGCCAGCCAAGATTTAAGTTCTTTAAAGAAGGGTTGCTAATAACCTTTCTTTGTGCAAATAATACCTGGCATACCTTCACACTCTGGACTTTATTCCATTCCACATGATAACCCTTGCTTGTGGGTCCATGCCGCTCACATTGTTTTCTGGCTGAAGCAGTTTCAGTTTTTTTCCTTCTGTTGATCTGGTTGTCTCTTCCTCATCCTTCAGAGCTTCCTGTAAAAGCTGCTTTTCCTTCCTTCCTTCCTTCCTTCCTTCCTTCCTTCCTTCCTTCCCTCCTTCCTTCCCTCCTTCCTTCCCTCCTTCCTTCCCTCCTTCCTTCCCTCCTTCCTTCCCTCCTTCCTTCCCTCCTTCCCTCCTTCCTTCCTTCCTTCCCTCCCTCCCTCCTTCCTTTTCTTCTTCTTTTTTAAAGATTTATTTATTTATTTGAAAGTCAGAGTTACACAGAGAGGAGAGAGGCAGAGAGAGAGAGAGAGAGAGAGAGAGGTCTCCATCCGCTGGTTCACTCCCCAATTGGCCACAACAGCCAGAACTGTGCCGATCTGAAGCCAGGAGCCAGGAGCTTCTTTCGAGTCTCCCACGTGGGTGCAGGGGCCCAAGGACTTGGGCCATCTTCTACTGCTTTCCCAGGCCATAGCAGAGCTGGATCAGAAGTGGAGCAGCCAGGTCTTGAACTGGCACCCATATGGGATGCTGACACTGCAGGCCAGGTCATTAACCCACTGAGCAACAAATCCGACCTCTCCTCTCCTCTCTCCTCTCCTCTCCTCTCCTCTCCTCTCCTCTCCTCTCCTCTCCTCTCCTCTCCTCTCCTCTCCTCTCCTCTCCTCTCCTCTCTTCCCCTCCCCTCCCCTCCCCTCCCCTCTCCTCTCTTCAGCTTTCTAGTTTCCTAGAGTGGGTGGGCACACATGCTAAGTTGTTGCTGCCTTAGATTTATTTTTACCATTACAGTTTATTTCCCCAGCAGAGGAGTGCTACACAACTGGCAATTATCTCTTGCTTATCATTTATCTGTGTCCTAAGCAAAGTAGAGAGGAGATTAATAGGTATTTCTTTCTTGGAGTGTACTGGGTAAAATCATAATTGGCATTTGTGCCTTGACTCACATTAGTTCATTGACTCTTAAAATATCAAGGGTTTATGTGTACTGATTTTAATTTTTCATTTTTAAATTAAAGCAAGGATGGACTTCTGGACCATGGGCAATTCAGAATGCTTACCCACCTGTGTGAGTTACTTTTCTTCACATTGGAACTGGTGAATGGGCAACTATTTATTATACATTAATAAGTGAAAAAAGAGCAAAATTATATATGTAGCTATGATTGTGAACCACTGAAAACTTTGTACTCATACAGATGACCTAAAAATTATTGTTCCAAAATTAAAATAGCTCTTGTCATAGGATGAAAGCATTACAGCTAATATTTTGGTTGTTTTTATTTTCTTTAATATTCTTACATTTTCTTGAAAGAGATAAATATTTATTTAGAAAATTCAGATAAATGGATTTATTAAAGAAATATATTTTTCAAAAAATTACAATTGATATACTTAAAATTGATTAAGTAGTAAATCTGCTTGTGCTTTATTTTGATATTAAGGAATATAATAATTTTGTCAATCTCATTAAATTTATATTTTTGGTTTAGAATACATTTTTTTTTTGACAGGCAGAGTGGACAGTGAGAGAGAGAGACAGAGAGAAAGGTCTTTCTTTGCCGTTGTTCACCCTCCAATGGCCACCGCGGCTGGCACACTATGGCCGGTGCACCACGCTGATCCAAAGGCAGGAGCCAGGTACTTCTCCTGGTCTCCCATGGGGTGCAGGGCCCAAGCACTTGGGCCATCCTCCACTGCACTCCCTGGCCACAGCAGAGAGCTGGCCTGGAAGAGGGGCAACCGGGACAGAATCCGGTGCCCCGACCGGGACTAGAACCCGGTGTGCTGGCGCCACAAGGCGGAGGATTAGCCTAGTGAGCCGCGGCGCCGGCCTAGAATACATTATGTTTTATATTTACATATTGTTGCCTTTTACAATTTGGAATGTCTGATCGTTATGTTCTTTCAAGTATTTTAGATGACACAGCTTCTTGGAAAACACAAATCAAGAACAGTAATTTATTGTCCTCAGTAGTGTGACATTGACATTTTTGTAAATTAAAAACAAGCAAATATCAATAATTTCATGAGGGTCTACATGCTAATCTAGGTATAAGAAAAGAATTAGGCTTAGATTTTTGGGTACAAGATGATGAGTGGGTGTTTTATCTGTGTGCTGGTAAATATTTTAACAACTGCTTTTCTGAGAAGTGCATTGTAAATTTATTATAAATTTTACTTTTTTATTGCAAATGAATTTAAGTACATTTTATGATTATAACTTTTATTGGTATAAAAATGTGTACCAAGAAATATACAAATGTTACTAAAATGGGTAAACTATTTAGATTCAGTATACTTTATTGGTTCTCATGGAATGCTTGTGTGTGTGTGTGTGTGTGTGTGTCTTTCTTTCTTTCCTTCTTTGTGTCAGTGCTTCCTTCCTTCCTTCCTTTCCTTCCTCCCTTCTCTCTTTCTCCATCCCTCCCACCCATTCTCTTCCTTCCTTCCTCAGTCTTTGCTCGCTCCTTCCTTCCTTCCTTCCTGCCTCCCTCCCTCCCCTCTTCCCTCTTCCCTCTTTCCTTTCTTTTGCTGAAGTCTGTGTCTAACCAATATAGTTGTAAGTGATGAGCCAGAATAGTTTTAATGTGAACATTGGTTGGTATTTTCATTTACTGTAAGCTGACAGGAGTGATTTCTTTGCTGAATTAAATAATAGTTGTGAATATTGAAACTATTTCCTTAGGTTTTTGTGCCATCCTCAATGTGAGAGCTACAAACATGATTCTATTTTAAGTTTAGTCTGCATTATTTTCATTTTTTTCACTACTTTTTTAAGTCTCCAAAATTAGCAAAATAATATATTGAATATTAATTCAAAGCACTTGCCAACTTCAGTATAAAAAAATCACACCATGGCTGATTTTAAGCCAATACTGAAATCAGAGATGGAAAGGGATATGCAACAGTATATTACCATACAGACACAGATATGTAAATAACCTCAATACCATATATTATTGAAGTCAAATTGTTAGGAAGTTATGAATTCTGAGTATTTCTTACCTTTGTTTCTAATATGACTTAATTACAAATTTATATAGTAATGGTTATGTTTAATAACAGCTTGAAAATTTGTTCAACTTTAACAAAAGCCTATGGCAAACCAGCACACCATTGGCTACCGGTACCTTTTTAATATATGATGTAGCATATATGATTTTCAATTATTAAAGACTCATTTTAAAAGTTATAATGGGCCGGCGCTGCGGCTCACTAGGCCAATCCTCTGCCTTGCGGTGCCGGTACATCGGGTTCTAGTCCCGGTCGGGACACTGGATTCTGTCCCGGTTGCCCCTCTTCCAGGCCAGCTCTCTGCTGTGCCCAGGGAGTGCAGTGGAGGATGGCCCAAGTCCTTGGGCCCTGCACCCCATGGGAGGCCAGGAGAAGTACCTGGCTCCTGCCATCGGATCAGCGCAGTGCGCTGGCTGCAGCTCACCGGCTGCGGCGGCCATTGGAGGGTGAACCAACAGCAAAAGGAAAACCTTTCTCTCTCTCTCTCTCTCTCTTTCTCTCTCACTGTCCACTCTGCCTGTCAAAAAAAAATTAAAGTTATAATGCATAACTTATTTCTTTTAGGGTCCCACGACTTGATTTGGGAAGCCTTATTGACTCTGATGATGAGGTAAGTTTTGGTTATTATTTAATACAAAAAGTGTAAACACCATATTACATGTAGAATATAATAAGTATCATTGCATTTTATTTTTAGGATGATTATTCATATATTCCACTTAGTACAGCGTATATTTATTTTAATCCACCAAATTCATCTTCTACTCTTGGTTGGGTCCCATCATGTCAAATACCATATACTCAGCATCATCTAAAAGAACTGGTTAGTATTTGTTTATTACCTACTTTAAGAATTATAGTATGCATCATTATTACTATATTTAATCTAGAAACTCCATTATGTTTAGTCTATGTTTTTCCTGGTTTAAATATTTTATTTAAAATATTAAAGTCCCAAATAACAATGTTGATGAAGTAATTTTACTTGGTTTTCATTTTTTCACATATCGAAATAATATTTTAAGAATCTCTCATGAAAGAATTTCATATAAAATTGACAAAGTACACCTTAATATGGAATCCAGGAATTTTAAAAATAAAGCAAAATGTTATATCAGATCTTACCAGTTTAAAATAAAAGACGGATGGGCCCAGTGTTGTGGCACTGTGGGTTAAACTGCCACTTGCAATGCTGGCATCCCATATTGAAGTGCCCATTTGAGTTCCGGCTGCTCTGCTTCCAATCTAGCTCCTGCTAATGCTCTTGGGAAAGCAGTGGATACCCTGACACCCGAGTAGGAGATCCAGGTGGAGTTCCTGACTCCTGGGTTTGGCCTGACCCAAGCCTGGCTGTTGGTGGCCATTTGGGAAGTGAACCAGCAGATGGAAGATATCTCTATCTGTCTCTCTCTCTCTCTCTCTCTCTCTCTAACTCTGTCTTTCAAACAAAGAAATGAATTAATATTTTTAAAAGATAAAATGTAGGGCAATTGGGGTGGAGGTTTAGTGCAGTGGCTAAGATGCTGCTTAGAACACCTACATTCCACATCAGGCTACCTGGATTTGAGTCCTGGCTCTGCTTCAGGTACCAACTTCCTGCTAATGTGAGCCTGGAAAGCAGCAGATGATGGCCAAAGTACTTGAATCCCTGTCATCTGCATGTGAGACCTAGAAAGAGCTCCTGGCTCCTGGCTTTGGCCTGGTTGAACTCTAGGTTTTGTGAGTATTTAAGGAGTTAACAGGCAAATGGAAGATTTGTCTATCTTTGTGTCTCTCTGCATTTCAAAATCAATCAATCAATAATTTATACATAATTTTATAAAGAAGGTAAGATTTGTCTCTTGGAAACAGATTTCTACTTTAGGCTACTTGGATATTGCAGAGTAAGTATTCTTATTCCAAGGTGTTTCCCTGTGACATGTTTTACTTCAAACAATATCAGGTGTTCTATTTCACGTTATGAATTCAGGTTCTGACTGGTGTTTCATGAGTAGGGGCTTGCTTGTCTGTCCTTGGTAATCTTTCTCTTGAAGCTGGCTCTATTCCCATTCTCTGTCTCATTTTGGAAAATCACGTGTCTATTACCCTAGTCTATATCTTGCTGCTGTTTTGCCCAGTAGCATTGCCTTATCCCTGTCCTCTGCTTTACACTTGGATATCCTCAACAATCTCCAACATGAGGTGGGCATATTCTCTGAGCAATTATGTTTGCCCTGATCGATCAGTGATGCTTCAGCAGCTAAATGTTTTAAATATCATCTCTGTTTAGAGCACGATCATAATGATTTCTCTCCTAGGCATAAACACTAAGTGAAATGATAAGCCTGTTAAAGTCAATAACAAAAACTAATAATTTTTTTTGATCTCTTTTCCTGGTGAATAACATGCATTTCTTTTTTATCTCTAGGACCAGGACATAATACCTGAAAATTTACCAGCACCATCAAGCAAATATAAGCTAAAATATCAGCAATATAACACTGAAATGAAAGAGGGATATAAACAGTATAGTCAGAGAAATTCAGAGAAGACAAAATCAAATGTTCCACATCCAGAGTCCCCAGGAATCAAGATAGATGACAAGGTAAGATGGGAATTTTTCATGTGCTTTTGGCTATTTGCATATCTTCTCTGGAGAAATGTCTATTTAGATCATTCAAGCCTTTTTTTTGTAATAACATTTTAATAGCTACACTCTTGGCAAATTTCAAATATATAGTACAGAATTCTTTTTTTTTTTTTTTTTGACAGAGTGGACAGTGAGAGAGACAGAGAGAAAAGTCTTCCTTTTGCCGTTGAGTACAGAATTCTTAATTAGAGTTTACATTTGATATCTAGAACTCCCTCATCTTTTTTTTTTTTTTTTTTTTTTTTTTTTGACAGGCAGAGTGGACAGCGAGAGAGAGAGACAGAGAGAAAGGTCTTCCTTTGCCGTTGGTTCACCCTCCAATGGCCGCCGTGGCCGGCACACCAAGCTGATCTGATGGCAGGAGCCAGGTACTTCTCCTGGTCTCCCATGGGGTGCAGGGCCCAAGTACTTGGGCCATCCTCCACTGCCTTCCTGGGCCACAGCAGAGAGCTGGCCTGGAAGAGGGGCAACCGGGACAGAATCCGGTGCCCCTACCAGGACTAGAACCTGGTGTGCCGGCGCCGCAAGGCGGAGGATTAGCCTAGTGAGCTGTGGTGCCGGCCCTCCCTCATCTTGCATTAGCTTTCAACTGTTTTTAAGTTGGATTATTTATCTTTCCATTATTGAGCTGTAGGAATTCTTTTATATTCTGGATACAAGTCTTTTGTATCAGATGTATAATTTGTAAGTATTTATGGGTTGTCTTTTCACTTCCTGATGGTGTCATTTCAACCACTCAAAGATTTAATTTTGATGAAGTCCAATTTATTTTTCCTTCTGTCACCTGTGTATTTTGCTTTTGTAACCCAAGGTTGCTAACCCAAAGTTAGCATTTTGTAGTATTTTGTAATTTTAACTCTTACATTTAGATCTCTGATCTATTTTGAGTTAACTTTTTTTTTTTCAATAGTGTGAAGTTGGAAGGGGTGTGGAGTCCAACTTCACTCTTTCGTTTGTCTATCTCTGGTTGTCCCAGCACCATTTGTTGAAAAGATCATTATTCCCTACTGCATGATCTTGGCAACTTGTTGAAAACTAACCAACCTAAATGTAAGGTTACATCAGTTCTTAAATGTTGATTCTGGTATTTTCATTACGGTCTTCTAAAACAGAATAAAATTGTCAGCTTAAATGTTCTGGCAGAAATTATTCCCTGGGAATCTCTGTCACCAACAGTGTATTTAAGATGTAAATGACTCTGACAAACTTAAAAAAAAACAGATGAATTCTTTATATTTATTTACACTGGTGTAATTTGGGGGACACACAGGGTGACTGTTTTACTAATACTGTAGCTTTTTCTTTAAATTTGGTAAGGGATCATATTTTAACTGTCTGTACCCACCCTTTATGAGTGCTAACTGTGTATGGCAGTGGGTATATTAATTAATTTATTGTGGCAGTTATTACACAATTAATATGTGTATCAAATCATCACATTGAAATATGTAATTGAATATTTGTTACATACAGTATGTAATATTGAATACATGAGTATACACTTTTCATTTGTCAATAAACACCTTAAAATCTTAAAAAATGAAGACAGAGACTTTGGTCCTGAGTAGATATCATTAACTGCAGGTGGAGACGATTACTTGGAAATCTGGTTTGAGGAGGTTAGGTCTGATATGCCAAGGGGAAATGTCACAGTTTTCTCATTGTAAAGTTTAGAAACAAGCTGAAACTAAATAATATTCCTTTAAAACTTGTTCTCAATCTAATTAAAATGCCCAACTTTGCTTTTACTTCAACATATCTCTGAATTAATCTGATTAATACATTTTATGTAATGCAAGGTTAAGGAAATCACTATTTAGGAAAAACAGGTTCATTAGTGAATGAATGAATGAATAAAATTGTAAAGTATCCTTATAGCTTGATTTCTAAGTAGTAAACACTTGAGGTTCATTATTCAGTCATCGGACAAATGCTTATTGAATGCACATGATATGGAGCTTGTCTGGCACCAGAGACATGCAGTTAAAAATGACAGATGAGGTCCCTGTCCTCATGGAACATACAGTAGAAGAGGTAGACAAGAAATAGTAAATAAATATATAATAGAATTTTACGTAGAAATTAAAGGTCAGTAAGGCAGAGTAAGAAGACGGAATGTGACCTTTCAAGGGCTATTTAAAGTAAGAATGAACCCTTGGAGAAGAACTCTTGAAATCTATTAAAGTTTTGACAAATTACTAACGTGTTGGGACATTTTTTTTTGGTTGTTATTAATGTAATCATAAGCACATCTCTTATTCAGAGAAAAATTTGGTATTTATCATTTTAGAATCTCAAAGGATTCTAAAGATTACATCCATCTTTTAGTACTTCTGAATTTAATTTAATACTCGAGTGAACAAGCCCATGTTTAATGTTTTTACAATGATACAACTTGAATAAAAATAGTTATGACAATTATGTTATGATCAATTATGATCACTGTGCATCAGACAGGTTTTACAATTGTTGGACATATATCATCCTGTTTAATCCTCTTCTTGATGCAATAGTTACTGTTACTAATTCCCATTTTGTCTATGAGTAGACTGAGGCTCAGAGAAGTCATCTAGCTAGAAAGTGGAAGAGCTGGATTCAGACACGGCAATCTGGTTGTCAGAGCCGCTACTCTTCCTGCCTATACAGCTAGTCTCTGAGATACTCAGTGACTACCTATTCTCATATTTTCTTAAAAGCAAATCTTTGAAATATATATGTGATGGTCCCTGTGTTGCTTTCATTTATAGTGTGTACAAGGCAAGGAGAGCAGCATGGATGACCTTACAACTCTGGACAGGAAAGCCCTCCTACAGCAAGGTTTTGCAGAAAGCCCTTGCAATGCACAACACAGTGCAAGAAAATCAAATGCAGTAAGTCATCAGCATTTTTATTTACTTCGTAAGCCATTAAGATAATTTGCCTTCCAAGACATTGCAGACTTGTAATTGAATAATAACTGCAGTAATTCTATCTGGGCAATATTTACATCATCTGAGGTGAATATTTATTAATGTGCAAGTTGAGTTCATTTTCAGAAATGATTCATTTGTGTTTCATATATCTTATGCCTAAAAATTATCTTGAATCTTTGAGAGTTTGGAAAAATGTAGTTTGTACTGTCCAACATGTGAATTGCCTGCTAGTTATATTAGGAGGCTTATTTGGCTTCACTCTCTTTTGCCAAAAGTAGCCTGGTTATTTTACTTTATTTTATTTTATTTATTTATTTTTGAGATTCATAAGCTACTTGTATGAGAAGTTCAAGTCAAGGAAGGCCAGAAACAAAATAATTTTTCCTTAGGAAAAGTGAAGAAAACTCCAGACTCATTACTAACTTTATATCTTTCACAAAATCTATTGCATTTATGAGTATTGCTTAGAATAATTCTGGTACAGGCAGATAATTAGGACAATTCTGTAGTGTCTTGGCATAAAGGGACCAGGCTCATTGCAGTTGAAGTCTATTGACCATGCTTGGCACCCCAAGCTGATTAATATCTTAGGCATACCTGCAAGTGATAGGTGAAATACCAGCATGGTGGCTCACAAGTCAGGAATATGCTGGTTTACACAGCCTTAATAATAAAGCAATATGGATTTGAGTAGTCACATTATCATCACTGTTGAGAAGAAACTCAATATATATATTTTATTTGAGTCATAATCTTCCAGGATCAACATGCTTTCAGTTAATAGTAGTGTATAATCCATCTCTGGGCCAGGTAGACTCGCTCTCTATGGGTGTCCTAAGTTGAAAATTTGTTATATACTTCTTCTAATGATATAACATGCACATTACTTTCTGAATAATTATTAGTTAGATATTTATGCTTAATAGACCAGGAGTGTTACCAGCATTGTTATGAAAACAAAAAAAGCAAAGTGTATTCCCAAATAAGGCTACTTTTGATCTATTCCTGAAGTAGTGTTAGATATGGATAGTACCAATATCTAAGGACCATTGAATATTGTTCTTGGCATTACTGAAAGCCACCTGAGTATTAGCGGGTTTCTTTTCCTTGTGATTCCATTGTTAATGGTGATGTATCTAAATGCAGTACCAAATAAATGTTCCTTTATTGTGGTACCACACGTTCATCTTCTTTATTTCCCCAAGGAAACTTTCAAGGCCTCTGAAATTAGTACTGATTTAAAAAAAAAAATGTAAGTCAAGCTTCTTTAGTTTTTAATTCCTCAAATAAACAACAGAAGCAGTGAACCTCTCTATGATTTGTATGTCTTTCTAGTCCAGTTCTTTTGTCAGTTTTCTGTGTTGTCACATCCTTTGAATCAGTGTGACTTCTGCTTCTAATAAGCTTTGTTTGCACAGACCTTTAAGTCATGGTCCCGGAGAGTGGTTCTAACTTTTTCCTGCAGAGTAGAAGCTACCATAAACCTCACCACAAGGTGGCCTTTCTGCATGGGATCTGTGGTGTTCATCCATCTCCCCTCTTTTAGCTGATTCTGGGTTCTACATCTGTGCTCTGGCTCATTACGGATGTTTTCTGTATGTAATTGTTGCATGTTTTAGCAAGTGTCCACTGTCTGCATTACCCTGAGATAGAACAGTATGCCTTGCTTTACCTGTAGGTTGCATGGTTTTTCTAGCTTCTTCATTGCTGTTTTAAATTTATTACTAAACAAAATTTTTTATGAAGTATCATGAGCTTAGCAAATAGCACACGGCACAGATATGTTGCAAATGATATAAATGTTATATAGTGCATGTAGTGTGTAAACCAGGCCTTTTAAATTTTAACCAAAATCTTTCTTCTTTTTTTTTTTTTCAATAAAAGTACTGATTTATTTGAAGGAGTTACAGCGAAAGTGGGACAGAAAGAGAGAGAGAGATCTTCCATTTTCTGGTTCACTCCCTAAGTGGTTGCAATCACCTGGGCTGAGCCAGGAGCTTCATCTGGGTCTCCAAATTGGGTGGCAGGGGCCCAAGTACTTGGGCCATCTTCCACTGCTTTTCCTAGGCCATTAGCTAGCAGCTAGATTAGAAGTGGAACAGCTAGGACTTGAACTGGCACCCATATGAGATGCTGGCATGGTAGATGGCAGCTTTACCTGGTATGCCACAACACCAGCCCAAGTAAAATTTATTTTTAAATGTTTATTTTTATTAGTTTGAAATTTAGAGAGAGAGAGAGAGAGAAACAGACAGAGAGACAGACAGTTCTTCCATCCACTGGATGCTGCTTGAATTTCCACAACAGCTGTGCTGGGCCAGGCTGGAGCCAGGAGCCTGGAACTCAGTTGGGCTTTCCATATGAGCAGCAGGAATACCAGCATAGGAGCTATTGAACTGCTTACTTCCCAGGGTGCACACTGGCAGAAAACTGGAATCGGAAGCGGAGTTGTGACTCCAACCCAGGCACTCCCATATGATAAGCATGTCTCAAGTGACATTTTAACCTCTGTGCATGCCTCTAGGCTAACTTTTAAATAATTATGTCTTAACTTTTCCAAGTTTCTTAAAAGTTTTTATTTTCGTTGTTATGTTATAGCTTTAGAAACTCTTATTTGATATTTTGTGTCAGTTTTAGATAAAGCACTCTCTTCAAGGTTCAAAGGCCTGTATCTCAAACAATAATTTCTTACTTAGTTTTTGTTTATTGGAGTGATTGATAGGGATGACAGTAATTTACATTCTGAAAATAGAACAAGGATTATTTTGAATTCTTCATGTTGAAAACTTTGGTGTACTCCTTAAAAGAAACACTTTAGGAGTGGGGGTTGTGGAACACACACTGTGTTGAGCTGCTATTTGGAACACTCGCATCTCATATCCTTATGCCTGGTTGGAGCCATGGCTTCTCTGTGCTTCTGATACAGCTTCTTGATAATGTGGCAGAGAGGCAGCAAATGATGGTTCAAGGACTTGAGTCCTTACCATCCATGTGGGAAACCCAGACGGAGTTCCTGGTTCCTGGCTTTAGCCTGCCCCCACCCTGGCTGTTATAGGCATTTGGGGATGGAAGATGTTTGTTTACTCCTCTGTCTGTTACTCTGCCTTTCAATAAATGAATACATCTCTTTTTTAAAAAGAAAAACTGAAGCCAGCGCCGTGGCTCACTTGGTTAATCCTCTGCCTGCAGCACCAGCATCCCAGATGGGCGGTGGGCTCAAGTCCCAGTTGCTCCTTTTCCAGTCCAGCTCTCTGCTGTGGCCCAGGAGTGCAGTGGAGGATGGCCCAAGTGCTTGGGCCCCTGTACTCGCATGGGAGACCAGGAAGAAGCACCTGGCTCCTGGCTCCTGGCTTCGGAGTGCCCGCCATAGCGGACATTTGGGGAGTGAACCAATGGAAGACCTTTCTCTCTGTCTCTCTCTTTCACTGTCTATAACTCTACCTGTCAAATAAAAAAAAAAAACTTAAAAGAAAAACTGAAACATTTTAATGACTTTATAATCTCTTCATTGACTATATAATCTAACTTGCTGTTTGGTGTAACCTAAAAAGTAGTAAAAATAGTTATACATAATAATAGTTTAATCATACCAGCAACTGAGAAACATTAATTAATATTTTTAAAATATTTTATTTATTTATTTATTTTTAAAGATTTATTTATTTGAAAGAGTTACACAGAGAGGAGAGTCAGAGAGAGAGAGAGAGAGAGAGAGAGAGATGTCTTCCATCCGCTGGTTCACTCCCCAATTGGCCGCAACAGCTGGAGCTGTGCTGATCCAAAGCCAGGAGCCAGGAGCTTCCTCCATGTCTCCCATATGTGTTGCAGGGGCCCAAGCACTTGGACCATCTTGTACTGCTTTCCCAGGCCATAGCAGAGAGCTGGGTTGGAAGTGGAGCAGCCGGGACTTGGATCAGCACCCACATGGGATGCCAGCACTGCAGGTGGTAAAGCTTTATCCGCTACACCACAGCGCTGGCCCCAAAAGATTTTATTTATTTATTTGAGAGGTAGCGTTACAGACAGGGAGAGGGAGAGACAGAGGGAAAGGTCTTCCATCTGCTAGTTCACTCCCCAAATGGCTGCAACAGCCGGAGCTGAGCCGGTCTGAAGCCAGGAGCCAGAAGCTTCTTCTGGGTCTCCCACTTGGGTGCAGGGGCGCAAACGCTTGTTCCATTGTCTACTGCTTTCACAGGCCATAGCAGAGAGCTGGATCAGAAGAGGAAGAGGAGCGGCTGGAACTCAAAATGACGCCTATATGGGATGCTGGCACTATAGGCGGCAGCTTTACCTGCTATGCCACAGCATTGGCCCCTAATTAAGTATTATTAATACATTATATGTATATAAAAGATTATCATTCTTTTAATACTGGGATATTTTTGCTTGTTTTGCTTTAGATTGTTGAGAGAAGGTTGAATGATTCCAATTCAGTTTCAGATTCTTTACTGTGACGTTTTAGACCAAAGTCTTTGTGTTTCAGCCTTGGTGTTCTGAGAGTAAATTACAGTACATTTGAGAGGAGAGATGTCACAGTCTCTTCCTTCATCCTGACCCCATAAAATGCACTGGAAGCTCCTAGAAATATATCTGATGATTTCTACCAAAATTGAAGTATACAACATTTTAAGAAAACAGATGGTGCTTTCATGTTAAATAGCTGGAAGTTAAATTTATTCATGATGGATAGTAATCAACTGTTATGAAAGAAGTTGGAAATATTCAATTTATGCTTTTGCGTAGATCTTTTGTATGAACTATTGTACTGTTCTGCTTTATGGATGATGAAATTGTCTTTATTATCTTATCAGGAAGTAGTGGCTGCAGAGAAGAAGAAACGAACTGTCGCAGAGCAGGTGCTGATAGATCACTTATCTCGGTGAGAGGCAGTCCCAGCGGAAATCCATTTAGAAAGTTTCGTTAAATTTCTTTCTCAAACATGACACCCACATCCTTGGTCAATCAATGAGTGGCTAACTCAGAGGCACCCAAATTTTGTTCACTATACTCTTTGTGTTTTAATCTTATTTTTCCAGAGCACTCTTTGATAAGTAGAAATACCTAACAGTTGTATCTGTTATATTTGTTTTTGTCTAAATAATTTATGTATTAATTTCCTAACAATGTAATGAACATCTGAAAAAATAATACACATAGGCTTAAAAATTAATTTCATTCTTAAATTGACACAATTGCTTGCTAATGGAATGATTGCATTGTCTGGGTGCTACACAGTCTCTCAAATATTAGTATCATTTAGGAAGCTAAATGTGTTTGAGCTTTAATATTTTCCTTCTCTGTATTTTGATTTTGTCTCTGCCAAAAGATTTATTACAACTACCATACTGTGTGTGTAGATTATACATGGAATTGATAAATAAAGCCTGAGAATAGAAGAGTTGCCAGGTTTTTTATAAATACCAGCTTTTAAATTGAGGAAATTAAAAAATTGTTAATATTCATTTTCAGAGGAAAATTTGCTTCACGGCTTAGCACACAAATAAACAAGATTTACAGTAAATAATAGAGATGCCTAAAGCTTTTTTCTTGAATGTCCTAGCAATTGGAAAAAATTCAATCAATTCATAAATTCTTCTATATATGAATTGCTGTTTTACTTCCATATTTTTTGAAGCCTCATGATTTCTTCCTTTTTTCTTTTTTTTAAAGATTTATTTATTTATTTGAAAGACAGAGTTACAGAGAGGCCGAGAGAGAGAGAAAGAGGTCTTCCATTCGTTGATTCACTCCCCAGATGGCCGCAATGGCCAGAGCTGTGTCAATCCAAAGTCAGGAGCAAAGAGCTTCTTCTGGGTCTCCCACGTGGGGGCAGGGGCCTAAGGACTTGGGCCATCTTCTACTGCTTTCCCAGGCCATTGCAGAGAGCTAGATCAGAAATGGAGCAGCCGGCACCATATGGGATGCTGGCACTACAGATAGCCCCTTTACCTGCAATTCTAAAGCAACAGCCCCATGATTCTTTCTTAAGAAATATATACTCAGGGATGGCACTGTGCTGTAGTGGGTTAAAGCCTCTGGTTCGAGTCCTAGCTGCTTCATTTCCAATCCAGCTCTCTGCTATGGCCTGGGAAAGCAATAGAAGATGGCCCAAGTCCTTGGGCCCCTGCACCCATGTGGAAGGCCTGGAAGAATTTCCTGGCCCCTGGCTCTGGACCAGCACAACTCTGGCCGTTGCAGCCATTTGGAGAATGAACCAGCAGATGGAAGACTTCTCTCTGTCTCTACCTCTCTCTATAACTCTTTCAAATAAATAAAATAAATTATTTTTAAATAAAGAAATATCTACTCATTTGTTCTTTCAGCCAATCATCAAATCTGCTCAGACTTGAGGTTTTTCTAGGCACTTAGGACCAAACCCAGAGAGGGTAATATTGCTAAGGATGTGTAGAAGTTTAGGTTTTGATGAATCATGAAATGCAGGCTGGTTAGGGGGACATGTGAGGTTGTAAAGATATAACCTCTTTTTTATCATTAAATACTACTATTCGGTTTATAATGACAAACCGAAACCACAAGGTGACTCCTATGTCCCCTACATTATTAATTGAATTTCCTTTCATATCGTATGGTTACTTTTAGCTGTTTGTATTTAAAAATATTACATATATTTGACAAGGCAGAGAAAGAGAGATCTTCAATCTGTTGGTGCACTTCCCAAGTGCCTGGAACAGCCAGGGCTGTGCAGATTAAAGCCAGGAGACAGGAACTCCATCTGTGTCGCTCAGGTGGGTAGTAGGGGCCCAAACACTTGAGTCATCTTCTGCTGCCTCATTGGATGCATTAACAGGGAGCTGGATCAGGACCAGAGTTAGGACTACATCTCAGACACTTCGATATGGGATATGAGCATCCCAAGTAGCGGCTTAACCTCTTGCCCCCATTATCACCTTTAATTGTCAGAATTTATGTTTTCCTACAGGGCTGTAATCAGCGATCCGGAACAAAATTTAACCCTGGAGAAGCAAGAAAGTGCTTGTGTCCTTCCAGATTCAAAGGTGGCACCTCTTCGATTTAGGAAAAGAACACTACATGAAACAAAGTAGGAATATTTTACTTGTATAAAATGAGAATACTTTATGTTATGAGTGTGATTTTAAAATGTGCTTCAGTGTCTAACTTAAAAAGTTCTTGGCATTTGTTTTTGCTTTTTTCCCCCTTTACATGTAGAAGTTGATGTTTTGGAATTCAGATCCCATTTCTGCCATCTTAAGGTATTGAAGTCAATGCCATATTCTATTTTCTTTGCCCTCCAGGATTTTTATTTGTAACTTAGGGGAAAAAAGCCACAGCCTTCAGAGATAATTTCTTTTCTTTTTTTTTTTCTTTCTTTCTTTCTTTTTTTTTTTTTTTTAACAGGCAGAGTGGACAGTGAGAGAGAGAGACAGAGAAAAAGGTCTTCCTTTGCCGTTGGTTCACCCTCCAATGGCCGCCGCGGCCGGCGCGCTGCGGCTAGCGCATCGCGCTGATCCAAAGCCAGGAGCCAGGTGCTTCTCCTGGTCTCCCATGGGGTGCAGGGCCCAAGCACTTGGGCCATCCTCCACTGCACTCCAGGGCCACAGCAGAGAGCTGTCCTGGAAGAGGGGCAACCGGGACAGAATCCGGCGCCCTGACCGGGACTAGAACCCGGTGTGCCAGCGCCGCTAGGTGGAGGATTAGCCTAGTGAGCCGCGGCGCCAGCCCAGAAATAACTTTCAAGGATATTTCAGAAAGTTTGTGTAGAAGTGGAATGATAAGGTGTTTATCTTGGTGCCAAATAATTTTTGAAATCCATGTATAGTTTTTTCATAATGTACGTTTTCCATGAACATTTTGAAGACATCTCATATGTGAATGTGTGTTACATCATAAGTGAGATATTTATATGCAATTTATACTATTTAAATTTATTCATATAATATATAGAACAGTTTATATCACTGATATATTAAAATTAGTAATGTATAAAAGTTTTATTTTTTCATATTTTAAATTTGTGGCTTATTAAAGCTGTGGGTTGGTATTTGCTTTTGTAGTCCTGTGGTGCAGTCCACTTAACTTGTTCAGCTTGACTGGTGGTTGACATCTAGCCTGAGCTGTTAATCAACGTAGAAAATCCACTAGTACCAACAATAACTCTTTCATATTTTCAGGTGACTGTAGTTGTTAGTACTTTCTCATTACTTTTGTCTTTTTGGCTTCTTATTTTCTGGAAGCCTTTATATTCTTTCAAATCTTTAAATATTTGACGGTATCATGTATTAATTCCTATTACTTCTGCTAACAAATGACCACAAACTTAGTGTTTTGTTCTACTACAGTTTTGGGGATAGGAAGGAAGCCTAACATCAGGTTGTTGATAGGGCTGCACTTTTGCTAGAAATTTCAGGGTAGAATCAGTTTCCTTGATTTTGCGGGTTGTAGGGGTAGCCTTCATTCCTTAACACATGGTGTCTTCTTCCCTCTTCAAAGCCAGACGTGGCTGGTAAGGTCATTCTAGTGCCACAGGACTCTGACACTCTTCCTCTGTAAAAGTCTCTCTCCCTGTCTTCCTTTAATCTAGACAGCTGTGATGGCAGTGAACCTATCTGGTTAATCTGTGAAATCTCATTTTAAGACTCTTAGTTTAATCATATGTACCACAGCCTTTTCATCATATAAGGTGACATATTCACATGTTCCAAGGATTAGGATGTAGATGTCCTTGAGCGGGTGCTCATTTATCTATAACACATCCAAACTTTCCTTTTTCTGAAATAAACTATTACTGAGAGAAGTACACAAATTTTAAGTGTACAGCATAGGAAAGATAAATTATATTCAGGTACCAAACTCCTGGATCCAAAAACAACTTCCCTAGTTTCTCAAAACCTCCCTTATGCTGCCTCCCACTAACCGTCTATTTCCTTTGCCATATTAGCTTAACCTCTGTAACATCAGATTTTAGGACTGCCTGATTACGAACTAAAGTTCATAAATGAAATCACAAAATTTGGGTACTTTGTGTCTGGCTTCATTTTCATTCCTAGTTGTATGTGTGCATTTGCGTATCTTTAAGATGTACAACATGATGTTTTAATATGCGTGTTCATAGTGAAATGCCCCGGGCTTATTTTATTCAACACTATGTTTGTGAGTTTTATCCATGTTATTATTTGCAATTGTCTTTTTTTCTCATTCTGTACAGCATTTCGTTGCATAGCGATGCCACTGCATATTGATGTACATTTGGTTACTTATGGATAGTGCTACCATGAATTGTCTTTTGCATGCCTCTTGATGAGCATATGTATTCATTTTGGCTCAGTATAATTTCAGCAGAAGATTTGCTGGCCCATTTAGTATACATATGTTCAACTCTAAAAGATACTGCCAAAGAGTTTTCCAAACGGTTGCTGTAATTTACACTCCCACCAGTAGCAGTATGAGTGTTCTAGTCACACCACATCTTTGCCAGTGCTTGATATTGTCTGCCTTTTTCATTTTAATTCTTTTTATGGATGCATATTAGTGATTTTAGTTTATGTTGACTGGAGACTTATAGAATTAGGTATACTTCCTTTGGCCATCTAGATATTCTGTAAAATTTTCATTCTGACCTGTTGGGTTGTCTATCTTTCATATGGAATTATGAATTTGTTCAATGTATTCTGCATAGGAGTCCTTTTACAGCTGTTATTTGTTGCACATATCTCTCCCTAGTTTGGTAACCTTTCCATTCTCCTGATTATACCTTTCCTAAACACTGAAATTAGAAACAAGAGTTTTTAATATCTTTCAAAAAATCCAGAAATAAGAGTTTGTAATTTTAATGTAGATCAGTTTACCAAACTACTCCTATGCTACTAATGCCCTTTTGTCTTAAGAAAACTTTGCCGGCTGCAAAGCCACTTTTTCTTTAACTTGTAATGCCACTGAAGTCATATGTCAAATTGTCATGGATGCATGGTTAGTTTCTAGCTTTGTTTTCAGCTTCATCTATCTAAGCACATGCATAGATATTATCCTACATTAATTAGTATTACTTTCTATTAAATATCTGAAGCTTGTTTAAAAGTACTCTAGTTTCATGAAAAATTATATAGGGTATTGGTTAGAATTATTGTATTTATGGATTTCAAGCTCTTCCTTGTTCATTCTTTCCAAAAGAAGAGAATTCTGTTTCATAAAATTGGCAGCAGGGATTGGTACCTATAGTGTAGGCCACTCCCTTCCTTTTTTTGAGAGGCAGCAGCCTGCCAAAGTACACATTCTGCCCTATTCCCTAAATTTTACAGGCCCCTTCCCCAGTGACCTTTCACATGGTGGTCTGATGGAGGTTCTCATCCTTCAGCTTCCTGATGGATTCAACAGCAGGACTCCTTCTCATGCCACTCTCTTGTCAGGACAAAAGGAAGTCTTCCTGGAAGCTCTTTGTCAGACCTGGGTCACTTAAGCATCCCTAATGATGAGGAGCTAAGAAAGCAAGTTCTATAGTGGGAGGGAGGCAGAGCGTAAGAGAGTTGGAAGTGGCTTCTGAGTAGCTCTGTGACAGCACCAGCCACACAGGTGCTGTCTCTGTTCAATATTCATTTTTCAAAGTACTGGGAGATTATGATACCAAAATCACTCATGTGCTATATACCATATCGCAGAGTGATTTCTCCTGTGTCTTCACTATTAGCAATCTGAAAAAAATTGAACAAAAAAAGATCTTTAGACTTTCATCTTTATCTAATCCATACTGCTTTAAAATATTAACATAACCTTTTTGTATGTTTATCATCTAGGTTGACTATAAGTACCTTAAAATTATTGACAAAATGTGTTTTTTTTTTTTTAAAAAAAAACAGGATCAAAACGCAATCTACATTAACTGAAAATGTGCTTTCTCATAAAGTGCAATTTGATGGTAGGATCATAACAAGGTAATTGTTATTTAATTAAATGTTTTATCCTATGATTATAAATGTTTGCTCTCTTAAAATCGGTATAATAGTGAGTTTAGATGAATTAGTCACATTTAAATTAAAAATGTGAATTTAGAAAAAGTGATTTTGGTTAACAAAATAACAAAAAATAACAGGAAGTATGAACTTGTAAGAAAAACGCTTTAATTAAAAATTCTAAAGTCATTTTAAATGCTTTTTAAAAAGCATATCTACTGATTTAGTCCCAAATACCTGCAATGGCCAAAGCTGAGCTAGGTAGAAGCCAGGAGATTGGAACTCAATCCAGATCTCCCATGTGGGTTGCAGGAACCCAAGTACCTGAGGCATAAACGGTTGCCTCCTGGATTGTGCATTAGCTGGAAGCTTTGTGGAGCACAGCCAGAACCCTAACACAGGTACTCTAATATGGGATGTGGGTACATCCTTGGGCAGCTTAACTACTAGGCCAAAAGCCTAACCCATAAAAGAATTTCTTTTAAAGATTATTAGGGGCCAGCGCTGTGGCTCACTAGGCTAATCCTCCGCCTGCAGCACCGGCACCCCGTGTTCTAGTCCCAGTCGGGGCGCCAGATTCTGTCCCAGTTGCTCCTCTTCCAGTCCAGCTCTCTGCTGTGGCCCGGAAAGGCAGTGGAGGATGGCCCAAGTGCTTGGGCCCTGCACCTGCATGGGAGACCAGGAGGAAGCACCTGGCTCCTGGCTTCAGATCGGCGCAGCACCAGCTGTAGGAGCCATTTGGGGAGTGAACCAACAGAAGGAAGACCTTTCTCTCTGTCTCTATCACTGTCTGTAACTCTACCTCTCAAATAAAAAAAAAAAAAGATTTATTTTAACTATTTGAAAATCAGAGTTACTGAGAGAGAGGGAAAGACAGTGAGAGACCTTCCATCTGCTGGTTCACTCCCCAAATGGCAGCAAACGGCCAGGGCTGGGCAACAGAAGCCAGGATCCAGGAGCTTCTTCCAGGTCGCCCATGTGGGTGAGGGGGCCAAAGCACTTGGGCCATTTTCCGCTGCTTTCCCAGGAGCATTAGCAGAAAGCTGGATCAGAAGTGGAGCAGCTGGGGCTCTAACCAGCACCTACATGGAATACTGGTGTTTCAGGTAGTGGCTTTACCTGTTATGCCACAACACTGGCCTCCAGAAATGAATTTTTAAAATATATATATATATATAACTAGTAAAATATATAAACTACTTTAAAATTAACCTTTATCTAATTTTAGATTATTGGTAGATAGAATAATTATAAAAGGAAGATGGTTTTTCAAATTATGTTAATTTTTAAAAGTTTGACACATAAAATTATGCATACTTTTGGAGTAGAATGTGATATTTTAATGCATGTGTACATTACATAATGTTCAAATCAGGGTAAACATCTAGCTCCTCAGACATTTGCCATTTGTTTATGGTGGAACATTCAAAATCCTTTCAGGAAGATGAAAGTTTATTTGTTTGTTTTAAAGATATATTTATTTGAAAGGCAGAGTGACAGAAAGCAAGAGAGACAGAGATCTTCCATCCACTGGTTCATTCCCCAAATGGCTATCACCACCAGGTCTGGGCAAGGTCAAAGCCAGGAGCTAGGAACTCCGTCCTGGCATTGCACATGGTAACAGGGACCCAAGTACTTGTGCCTTCATCTACTGCCTTCCGGGTGCATTAGCAGGAAGCTAGATCAGAAGCGGAGCAGCTGGAACTCCAGCAGTCACTCTAATATGGAATTCCAGCTTTCCATGCAGTGGCTTAACTTGCTGGGCCTCAACGCTGGCTCCTCAGGAAACTGGTTCTTAAATCTGTTACTTCAGTCCTGTAAGCTTTGAGTAATGTATAATGGGACTGGAAGTGGTTTGTGTATGTTGCTAGTAAAATGTGTGTCTTTAAATTATTGTACTTGTTCAGTGACTAATTTAAACTTTTCTATGAAAGAAAAGATAATAATGTATAACTTTGTTTTCTTCAAGCTCAATATTTAAAATATATTTATTTATTTGAAAGGCAGGGTTACAGAAAGAGAGGGAAAGACACACACAGAGAGATAGTTTTCATTTCCTGGTTCACTTCCAAATGGCCGCAGCAGCTGAGCTAGGCCCGATTGAAGTCAAGAGCCAGGAGCTTCATCTGAGTCTCCCACATGGGTGCCAGGGGCCTAAGCACTTGGGCCATCTTCCACTGCTTTCCATGGCACATTAACAGGGAGCTGGATTGCAAGTCGTGCAGCCAGGACTTGAACTAGCCCTCAGATTGGATGCTGCATTCCAGGCAGTGGCTTATCCCCTGTACTGCAACGCTGGCCCCAAGCTCAACATTTTTTTTTTCAATCATCTTCTGTCTTATTTTAAAAGTCTATGTTGAATTAGTAATGATTGTTGAATCAGTAATCCACATTGTGGTATATACATATTCATATCAGTATAAATAGCTTTTTTTCTTCATCCAAATGTCGCTTATACTGACACTGCAAAAGCTGTGTTGTGCTTTCCCTACAGCTTTCAGAATCTTCACTCACTGCCACACACTCAAGGGAGTTATTCCATCCGTCTTTGAAATGTGCTGGTTTAGGATTTAACTTAAAAATAATTCTTTGATAGCAATTCTTATTTTTCTAGAAATGGACGTGATGCTTGCAGAGAGCTGATTGGATTCTTTTTTACCCATGACCAGTCCCTTACAATTTATGAATATCGGCAATTTGGGAAAAATAGGTATGACATAAAACACTGTCAGAATTCTCAAAAGAGTTTACTTTGGAGAGAAACTGAGTAATGGGACTTTTCTTTCTTTCAATTAACTTGTAGAACAAATGTGCTTCCTTTTATTCAAAAGAGCATTTATAGTCATCAGTGTGGACGAAGAAAAGGAAAACAATACCAAGTTGGTGATTTTTATACTGTAAGTTAAATGGGAGTACACAAATGTTTACGTAATGCCAGATAATGGAATTTGTGGAGTCTTGTGGAAGTAGAGTGTCAGGACTTCTACATGTCAGTTTATTTTTTCTCTTCCTATCTAAACAGGGAACCAGTATGTGACTGGGCTAAGGGCTGTTGTCTCCCCCTAGGAGGCTCTGCTTTCGAGATTCCCAGTGCTCTGAATCTGAGAATAGCATATATTACTTGTTGAACCCTCCTCCCCAATTCCACAGTACAAGTTGTGCCCAGGAGAGCCTGTCTCTTGGCACTTTTAAAGGTTCTGTAATTGGGTAAGAGGCTACCTCAATAGCAGCAGGAGTAATGGTCCTCCTAAAGCAGGCTTATCCTCTGAAGATGCATGGTTTCCTCCACATGGATGAGCGCTGGCCTTTGGAGAGGTCATACAACTGAGAGCCCATTCTTATGACCTTTCCAATCTTGGAATACTTGGGGCAATAATATATGACTGAAGGGTGCTCTACTATGAGTAGATCTTTTGTATAGATAATTTATTTTTATTTTTATTTTTTTGACAGGCAGAGTGGACAGTGAGAGAGAGAGAGACAGAGAGAAAGGTCTTCCTTTGCTGTGGGTTCATCCTCCAATGGCCGCTGCGGCCAGTGCGCTGCGGCCAGCGTGCTGCGGCCAGCGTACCGCGCTGATCTGATGGCAGGAGCCAGGTACTTCTCCTGGTCTCCCATGGGGTGCAGGGCCCAAGTACTTGGGCCATCCTCCACTGCACTCCCGGGCCACAGCAGAGAGCTGGACTGGAAGAGGGGCAACCGGGACAGAATCCGGTGCTCCGACCGGGACTAGAACCTGGTGTGCCAGTGCCGCAAGGCGGAGGATTAGCCTAGTGAGCTGCGGCGCCGGCTGTATAGATAATTTGTATAGTGCTCTTCATGATTAACATTTAACATCATCCACAGCATTTATTCATGTAACAAACATATTCATGTGCTCAGTAGTGGAGTTAGACTAACAAATACATAAGACCAATTGTTTTTGTGGAGTTTTCAGTTTAACAGGAAATATAGCCAGATAGGAGGGGCAACATGAGACCAGACAGGAGTGATGACAATCCAGTTTTGTGAGATCAGAGATGGCTTCCTGGAGAAAGTGCCATGTAACCTCCCCTAGGAGTTATCTAGGCAGGGACAGGGAGAAACGTGAGGGAAATGCTTCCAGGTGGAGGAGGCAGCTCGTGCAAAGTAGCATATGGCTCATTGGAGAGCTGAAAGTAGTTCCGTCTGTCTAGAATATAGAATTCAAGGTAAGAGTTGGAAGAGATGAGTCAGAGCTTACTGGAATTATGTTAAAGATCTACCTAAAATGTGTTGGGGAGTCAGTGAAAGAAGAGGGGCGTGGGAGAAGAGAGGTGACATGACTGAGTTTCAGTTTAGAATGATCTCTGTGATTACACTGTGGGGAGGACTAGATACACAAGGACTGGATATGATTGATTCAGATTAATCTAGGAGAGTGATTATGGCAACGTGAATGAAGCAGACGGTTGAGGCAATGATGCCACGTAGAAATTTTTATTTTTAATCTTGAAAAGGTAGAATTGCTAAGACTTGTAGAAAAATTAGGGGAGATATAAGGGGGAGTGAGGAAAAGCTAGGTATCCTGACCTTTGATTAAATACACTATACATATGTCATGCAAGTCTGTGTGTTAACACAGAGGGAAAATCAGTTCTGACTTCCATTGCACAACCTGCAGAAAGAATGCTAATGCCTATCCAAAGATTAAAGTTATTTGTAGCTCTGAGGTGCTGTCTCCAATTATTTAGTGTATCATCTGATTTATTCTCACTATCCTGGTTCCACATTACTTTGAACAAATGTTGAACCTTGCTCCCTTTTACAATTCCCATGGTGTGTGTCTGGTAGGGGAGTGAGTACACATGAGCCAGACAGAGCAGTCATACAGAGATGTGCATATTGTAGCAGGGTAAGCAATTTAAAATTCATTGTTTGAAGTCCCTATTCTTAAAAATATGTTCCTTGAATATTTCCCATGGTTGAGACCCACCTCTCACTTTTGTGATTCTTCCAGCTATTCCCTCCCCTTAATTATCAATTTATTTAGTGTAGAAATATATGAATGTATCCTATTTTACTGTGTGTGCCTTTCAGATGATGCAATGGAATTTATCTTTTCATTTATATGTGCCTAATCAAATCTTTTCCTCAACATTCCCTCAAAGAAGTTTTTGTGCCAGCAGCTAAGATAATCCCCATATGAATATGTGCATGTGCCCACAGATACTCCTATATAAGTGTGTACTCACACATGTGTTCACATATACACTGATGCAGATCGTATGGATGGGCCCTTTTCCATCTGTGTCCATATATATATATGCTTATATGTATAACATAGCTACATTAACAAGTATGTTTTACTAATACTTGACATGGTAATTGTTCTGTGAAATTTCTCATCCCCAGCCTTATTCTCCTACAACTAAAAAGCCAATCAGAACAACTGTACTACTATGTGTTCTCCTGGGATAATTCTGATCTAAATTCAAGATAACATTTCACATGATCACTCCTAATTCTGTCTCCCACTTTTGCCTTTCAGATTCTTTGAACTGCCCTTTGTACACTTGCTTCTCTATCTCTGGCTGTCTTTTTCAGTTTTTGTTTTGTTTTGCTTTTTTTTTCTGTTTTCTTTTTTTAAAGATTATTTATTTGAAAGTTAGAGTTACAGAGGGGGAGAGACAGAGGGAGGGCGAGAGAGAAAGAAGGAGAGAGAGAGGTCTTCCATCCACTGGTTCACTCCCCATATGGCTGCAACTGCCAGGCTGGGCCAGGCCAAGCTTGATGAGAAGTAGAGCAGCCAGGACTCCCACCGGCACCTATATGGGATGTCAGTGATGCAGATGGCAATTTTACCTGCTGTGCCACAGTGTTGGCCCCTTTGCTTTGTGGTTTTTTTTTTTTTTTTTCCATTGCTACCAGAAAATACTAATTTCTCTAAAGCCTTCCTAACTTTTTGCTGTTGTTCTGTCATGAAGACCAAAAAAAGTAAATAGTGAAAGAGGTAAAAATTGATCACAAGTTCTGAAATAGCCTTCCCGCCCTTCTCAGTTGTTTTACTCGGCTTTATTTTTCTCCATAGCCTTTTTAACCTGTATTATTTTATGTATGCATGTTTAATCTGTTTTTAGCTTTCTCTGACATAAAACTATTACTTTTTTTGGTAAGAACTGACTGTCCTGTGTGGGCCACTACCGTGTTTCTAGTGTTCTAAAGAGTGATTAGTATTCACAAGTATTTAGGAGGCACTGAATAAATATTCATTGAATTCATGAATTAGTATTTCATAAGTTGCAACTTTTAGAAATGCTTATGCCACCCTTGTTCCAATGCCCGCTCTCTGAATGAATGTGTTTAGCATCTCTGTTTTGTAGTAAAAACACTAAGGAACAGGCACTTGGCCTAGTGGTCAAGAGGCTGCTTGGGATGCTGACATCCCGTTTGGAGTGTCTTGGTTCAAATCATGGCTCTCATTCTTGATTCCAGCTGCTTGCTAATGTGGAATCAGTGGTGATGGCTTAAGTACTTGGATTCCTGCTACCCAAATGGGACATCCAGAGTGAGTTCTGGCCTCTAGGTTTTGGCCAGGCCCAGCCTCAGCTTTTGGATGTATATTTGGACAGTGAACCTGGGGATGAGGGACTTTCTTTTTTTCTCTGTCTCTCTGCCTTTCACATAAATAAAAATAAATTTATAAAATCCCACTGAAACAAAGAAAACTTGAGATATGCCCAGATCCTTAATGAGTGGAAATTGAAGGAAAGAAGAAATTAATGCAAAAGGGTCATGTTGCTTATAAACTTATTTCCATGCTACTGACAGTTGTAGCACAGTACACCATGTTGTTAATAGTTTCCTGATGACTTTTCCAAGTGTCAGTGAGGTGAAATATTTGCTCACTGAGGAGGAGCACAAACCTTTAACTTTGAAGTTACATGGTTGAGTGGAGAGAATTCACCTGGGCAGGCCAGGTGGGTGACTCAGCAGAGAGGCAGAGGGCTGAGCGCGCAGTCCAGTTGAGGCCGGGGGTTTTTAAGGGGATGGGTCTTTGTCTTTCTACATCTTTTCCTCCTGGAACAAAGAACTTTTTGGATGTAAATACTAAAAATTCCTTTCTGAGATTTCCCCCTGAAGTTATCAGACAGGAGGCAGCCTGGCTGGCGTCACCCCAGTTAGCAGAAGGATGATTATCCAGTAGAAGGGGCAGGGCTTTTGAAGTGCAGATACTGGGCTGCACCTGGAAGGTTACTGGGATGACTTTGAGATGCATATGCTGGACCTAGATGTCAGCTCCTTAGGCCTTTGTCACACACACATAAGCTCATATGTAACTTCCTACCTAACAGATTCATATCAGGAGCCAGCCACGTGGAGGAGCATGGCAGCATGGGACCACAATGGCAAAAGGCCAAAGAAAAGTGTGGGCCTACCACGACCCAGGCCTTTCATCCACTTCCAAAGGGGAGTGGTTAATTAACCTGATTGGCTATTGAGCACACAGGTGTGGTCAGGTAGGGGCATGAAGTCACACAGGGGTGTGGTGAAGGCGTGATCTTCCAGCTCACAAACCTGATCAATTTTATCCTGTATGCCTGCCTACATCAAAAGTTTAAATCTTTATTTGAAATTGAGAAATATTAAAGTTTTTTAATTTTTCTATCTTTGAAAACCAAAGCGAAATAAAATACTTTCTTTTCTGGAAAAAAATTGGCACATTTAATTTACTTGTTGGAAATTATCTTTCTTGGGGAAATATCCACATCTATTAAACTTTAGATTATGTCGCTAATAGACTCAGTAGAGCAATATGCTTTGGGAGACAGAAATAAAATTTTAGTCTTTGGAATACATAAAGATTATAATGTTTTCAATCTGTAATTATTTTGCCACAATCTATTATGTTCTCATTTCGGTAAGTCATTGTAGTATTTCCATGGCTATGTGAAAATGGTCTCAAAGTAATCTCTTGTCATAGAGAAACTTGGCAGAGACAAATCTGTCTTGCCCTTTTCTTTGTAATTTGCTTGATATTCATTGCATATATAAGATTACCTGTTAATAAGGGGGAATGATAGCTTTGTACATTTTTCAACTGCATATTGATTATTTTCCATTAGTCAGTGCTTTTAATACATTCATATGCATAAGATAGCCTTGTATTTCTGTGTGACACCGAGAAACACTGTAAAGCAACAGGTCTTCAAAGTATCATTCGTCCTACTTTGTCAGTAATGTCTTGATCCACTTATAGTTGTTTTTTTTTTTTTTTTTTTTTTTTTTTTTTTTTTTTTTTGACAGGCAGAGTGGACAGTGAGAGAGAGAGACAGAGAGAAAGGTCTTCCTTTGCCATTGGTTCACGCTCCAATGGCTGCTGCGGCTGGCATGCTGCGGCCGGTGCACCGCGCTGATCCGATGGCAGGAGCTAGGTACTTATCCTGGTCTCCCATGAGGTGCAGGGCCCAAGCACTTGGGCCATCCTCCACTGCACTCCTGGGCCACAGCAGAGAGCTGGCCTGGAAGAGGGACAACCGGGACAGAATCCGGCGCCCTGACCGGGACTAGAACCGTGTGCCGGCGTCGCAAGGTGGAGGATTAGCCTAGTGAGCCGCGGCGCCAGCCCACTTATAGTCTTAACTTTGGATGTTAATTAAGGTAGCAATTTGAATTTCTCCTGGATTTGACCTATGTGTCTTTAAAATTAAACATCAGAAAGTTGCCAGTGTTAAAAATAACATGCAGTACATCTTCTTGAAGTACTTCCAACTTTTATCTAGTTGTTGTCATCATAGAAAATTGTGAGGAGTCAAATGGGTCATAGGTAGTCAGGGGATCCCAATGGAATTTGGGGTGTAAAATATTTGCTTCTCTCCCTAAAGTTATCTTTAGCAAGAACAAACAGACTGCCCTCCTTCCTTCAGAATCTCCAAATTTACCATGGGAATAGCAAGGGAGCTCTTCCTGAGCTCACAGCTCATTGTGAAAACAAGTTACCTAGCCCACTCTTCTGGATGGTCTTTTTTATCCTGAGCAGGCCAGACAGGATGGAGAACTAAAAATCAGGCCTTTTATCCCCACCTGGTAACTGAATGCCAATCTCATTGTCAAGTGGTTTTTTTTTTTTTTTTTCCTTCGAAATTGTACTTAAAAAGCCCACTATGACCAGTCCCTTTGGGGTTCTTTCCTCTCTTGGAAGCCCCCCTTCTTGCTGCTCCTGCTGGAGATCCTTGATTCTAATAAATACTTTTAAATCTCTTTGCCATCTGCTTGGAAATTCTTCTTCCATGTGAGACAAAGAACTGAGGTAACAATAATTTCTCCACCACCGTTTTCCCGTAGCAAAATGAAAACCTCTGCCTAGTTATTGAGGCAGAGAGGAAGCTGCCCTCTGGGAGCGCTTGTTGTTTCCAACTTCATCGGAATGTCCTCCTCAGCTTGGCAGATCCTGAGGCCGTCTTTAACCTTAGCTGTGAAGCTCCACTTCATTGATTCTTGCTTTCTTAGCTGAAAAATATTTTAAAGATTACTTACATGGTGGGTATTGGGGAAACAGAATTAAAAAGAAAATTTTCTCCCAAACCAGAAAACATACGTGAGTGCTAGAGAAAGAACAAGGTTTTATTACTGCATAAATATTAAGATCAGAATGTGATGCACATCATAGGCGATCTGCTAGGAGGCTGCACAGATAGAAATCTCACCCTATTATATAGAACAAAAATACATAGCCCATTATATACATGTTTTCCAACGTTAACAGTAGCCAGTCTGCAAGTAACAGAACTGACGGAACCATTTGCCATACATGGTGTATTCTAGATTCCCTTTGTCAGTGGCACAACTATCTGTGTTAGCTAATTGTCTTTCTCAGAAGGAAAAAGAAACTTTTTATATCTCAGTGATGGAATATGCTTTTGTACCTGCAGCAAGTAAGGAAGTTAGGCTCCTACCCTTTCAAATAAAGCTGGAGGTGGGCCTGCTATGATCTCCTTTGAGGTTTGCATTTCAAAGACTGGCTCAAGGTTCCTTGAGAAAGACTTTCAGAAAGCTAAGGACAGGCCTATCTAATTTGCAGAGAATTTATTTACATTTCAAAGAGAGGAGTACTTACATTACAATTATAAATTTAATTAAATAAATGTTATAAGAATAAGGAGGGGGAGGGAAATCTCTTTTATAATATTCAACTGGAAGATTTAAACCTCTATTTTTAATTTATATTTGTTCTTACATTACTCATGTTTATTTAAGCAATTCAGAAATTAAAATAATAATTTTCTAATTTTTGAATTAATAATTTTTGGTAGATATTTTGTCACTAAAACTTTTAATGTTCTAATTAGGTTAAAATTAGTTTTATATTAGTGTGATGTCTGTCATCAAACAACTGGATGTAAACATTGTGATAAATTTATCACAGTTCAATTCCCAGTTCATCTTTCTGCAGACAAATAGTTGTATTTTTGTACTTAACAATGTCATAATTTCAGTTGAACTAATTTGGCCTTTTCTCTATGGTTCTTACATTAAAACTTGAGTTTCTTATATTGTTGACATTTCTTTAGTTGTTGCTGCCATGGTTGTCATATAGGAGATTATCCTGAGAGAGACACTGGGAAATTGGTTCCTTTATTGTTCTACTGTATTGGCTGAAGCCTGTGAAGTTTCTAAATATTCTCCAAATACATTTTTTTAAATCACAATTACAGTGTATCATGACACAGCTTATCAAAATAGAGTATAACATAGTACTAGTTTATTTTACTTCATAAATAATTTCTAGCTTTAAATAATCTGTTCATTTCTTCAGGGTGCAACTTTGACATTTTTGAGTTCTGATCACCCTGGCCTTCCAGAAAGCATAAAAAAAAGCATATTACTGAGAGTTCGAATCACAAATATTGATCAAATGGCTTTGGATTCCCTGAAGTAAGTCAGATGTACATTTGTCATTTTGAAAGTAAGTTAAAACATTAGTTGTTTTGTTATCATCAAATGGGATTTTTTCACAAAGCAATTAGGTTTTAAAGTTCATGTTTTCAAAAGACAATTTTATGTGCTATCTGGAAGTCAAATATACTCCATGTGGGGGAACTGTTGCAATTGATTTAATATTTTACAAGTTTTATTTTATGTTAATTAAAGACACTTATTAGTTTCCCTTTGCTATGCCAGTTTTATTTCACCATATGCTACTGAAGTAGTACATTTTTAAAGATAGCGTGTCAGTATAATGTCTTAACAATTTCTCCCACATTTTAGTGTCATGCTTTTTTTGACATGAAAAAATGTCCTGGATCCCATATATTTATAGCATACATTGATTGATAAATATGATTTGTGAAAAAATAGTGCTATGAATAAGATAACTTAAAGATAACTTTTAAATATATAAAATAATATTGAAACAGCTATAGAAATGAATATATTCACTGATAGTTCTTGGAAGGTTTAAGGAGTTGAGTTCAAAGGATCAAAGCTACAGGGAAGTTTGGAACTTGATTAAACTCCACTCTTGCACCTTGTGTTTGAGTGTTTCTCTGAGTCTAAAGCAGGAACGAGCTTAGAGATTCTGTACTCAGGGTGGTACAATAGAATATATTTTTATGACTGTGAACGTGTCAATTGCAGAACTGCTTCTGTGGAACCTGATGATGATATAATCTGTCAAGAAGCCAATGATAGCCTTGTCTTAAAGGCCATTCAAGGTGTGTGTTTTTACTTTACCCTCACAACCCAGTTTTACTTTCAACTATTAAACGTTTTAATCAGTAACAGTATTATTTGTATAGTTCTCAGTTTCATAGCTCTTGATTTCTGTTTCCTATGTGATTATTTTTAAAAGTTAATATACATATTTATCAAAATATCTTTAGGATTTCTCCTACTTAAATGGCCCCAAGAGCACTATTGTTATGTGGATTATGAAATTAGTGAATTTTAAAAAGTATTAGATAATATGGGTTTTTTCAAAAACTGAATAAAATGTAAATCTTGAGTCTTTTAAACTACTTAAATGATGCATTATGTAATATCCTAAAGAGATTTGTGATGGCTTCATCTAAAAGAAAAGATGTTAGAGTGGGTGCCAGCCTTATGTGTTCAGTAGACACGTGATTTTATTTAAATCCTCACACTTCTTTCTTTAGCTCTAAAAGGGGGATAATAATATCTCTTCCATTAATTTCGAGGATTGTTGCAAATAATAAATGAGATTTATGTGGCTTGGGACACTAAAATATTTTTAAAATTTTGTTTCTAATTCTGATTTTGTTCCAATCTTATAACCTCTGCAGTATACTGTACTTCAATAGACAAGTCCTTTCTTGGATCTCGTAATCTAAAATGGAAAAAGGTGTTGAATAAGTAGTCATAAAATCATCATATAATTTATGAATTTTGATGAATCATAACATATCATTTAAAGAAAAATGAGTCACAGCGAGAAAGCTAGAAAGATTAAACAGTTACCTGAAATTGGCATTTGAAATTTCAGATGTTCTTGATGCCATTGTTAATAGATTTTTCTGCTTTGTCATAGTCAATATAATATTTGTCACTGTTGAATCTAGTGATATTTTTATTGTCTCTGGTATATTAAATCTAATAACTGCTTTAGTAAAGTTACAAATATTTTCTTAAGCAAATATGAGCGTAATTCAAAAAAAATTGTGGAAAAGTAGACTACTAAGACAAATTTATTCTGGTACAAAAATATTTGAAATCCATTCATAATTTTTTCATAATATACATCTTTCATTTACTTTTTGAAGACTCCTGGTATAGCACTAACTGCATTAAGTGGAATAACAGAGGTACAAACAAGGAGAATGCTAGGGACTCAGATATAACTTTGAATTTCTGGAAAGAAGTGTTACTTAAAATTTTTAAATATAAGACAGCACTCCAATGTCTTGACGCTATCTAACAAATAAGTTATCATTTGAATATTTCACATTATTTTTTTAAAACTAAAAAATTATTTTTTCACATTATTTTTAAAAAATTATAATTTTTGAGGGACTTGCCTGACATCATTTTGTAATTCAGTAACAGCAGAGAAAGAAGAAAGAAATAACAGGTTTGGGGATGGTTAGATAAGGAAATTTAGACAATAAAAATGAAGACTTTATTTGTAATATTTAGGCTATTTTCTTTCTCATGAAGAGAAGCATTATTTTCCTGAGTTTAAAATACAGTATTTTGACCACACAGTGGTGCTATAGTTCTGATATATTTACATTTGATTTTATATGTAATGCATCTTATTAAAAACTTCCTTTTTCCCAAAGTCTTCTGTCAGTCATACACATGAGTTGGTTGAATATTCACATCCCTGATTTCCATTACATTAGCTTTAATTTTCTTACAAGAGAGACAACTGCAGTGTGATACATTTGAGCATAAGAACAACTAGCTCCCATCTTTGTTATTGTTAAACAGATGCGTTAAAAGAAAAACTACATAACAGAGGTGTTCGTATTTTGACTGGACTGGGAAAATACTTTCAACAATTGGACAAGGAAGGAGATGGACTTTTACATAAGTCAGAGTTTAAGCAAGCTCTGAAAGTGCTTCACTTTGAAATATCTGAAAAGGTGCGTACCACAGAAAATTCTCAAGCACGAATATTATTCTTAGGTGACATTATTCACTTTTCTACTGACATTTTAGTCATTGATTTTTCTATTCCTTTAAAAAGTATTTATCTTAATTTTATTTGAAAAGAGAATCTCTTTCATTTGCTGGTTTATTCCCCAAATGAAATCAACAGCCAGAACTGGATCAGGTCTCAACCAGAAGCCTGAAACTCAATCCCGGTCTCTGATGTTGCACAGATCCAAGTACTGGAACCATCACCTATGGCCTGTCAGGATGTGCATTAGCAGGAAGCTGGAATCAGAAGAGGAGGAGGAGTGGGGACTAAGAACTCTGATATGGAACACAGCATCCCAAGCAGTGTCTTAACCACTGTGCCGAACTCCTACTCCTGTCTTCTTCTTTATGCCCTCTTATCAGGGTTAAACCACAAAGCAACAACTCTTGTCTATTTTTGAAATTTAAATACTTATTCTCCCTTCATATATTTATTAAGGGCTTAATAAGTAGACATTGTGCTAACTCTGAGGGACTTATTCTGTATTCTCAAGGTCTTCATAATTGAAGGAAAATGATTATAAGATAAAATATGTGTTAATAGAGAATGCTTTGGAACACTTGGGATAGGTACCCAGTTCCAGGCCACGTCATAGAAGATCATGGAAGGATTCCTGGCAGAGGATACATCCACCCTCAGTTTTAAAGGGTGAGAAGGAATTAAGCAGACAGGCAAGGAGCAGACAATGTATATTTCATGAAAAGCAGAAGCACATGTGGGGACGTGGAAGGATGAGGGAGTGTGACCAATTCTCAAACTGCAAATAGTAAATCTTCATGCATATTGTTCCCTCCACTGTGAGTCATCTTCCACTTCTTTTTGCATACTAAATTTTCACAGCATTTGGCCCTCAGCTTCCTCGACCAAGAGTACTAGCCTATCACCTTTGTCTCAGGGAGCACCCCTGTCTGATCCCTGGTCCTTTCTAGACCCGTGTACCCTTTTGTTTTGCTCATGCTGTTTTGCAAGTATTGCTCAGCTCTGCCTGCAAGTGAGTGGGACTGCACTCAGGAGAGGGGCCTCGGTACTTCTGGTTTTCTGGTCTTTTTCTAGCATCCTGAATAGAACCTGGCATATGGCAAGTGTCTTAGTTGGAATGGATCAACTACAGGAGGGAGGAAAAGAGGAGAAAGGAGATAAGTAAATATGGTACATTGAAGTCTTGTATGCCATGATGAGAAGTTTGAATTTTATTCTGTAAATACATGAATTTGAAACATACTTGCCTCAGGATTTCTAATAAAGTATTTTATAATTTTTTAATATTTATTTATTTATTTGAAAGAGTTACACAGTGAGAGGAGAGACAGAGAGAGGGAGAGAGAGAGAGAAAGAGAGGGAGGCCTTCCATCTGCTGGTTCACTCCCCAATTGGCCACAATGGCCGGAGCTGCACCAATCCGAAGCCAAGAGCCAGGAACCTCTTCCGAGTCTCCCACACGGGAGCAGGGACCCAAGCACTTGGGCCATCTTCTACTGCTATCCCAGCCATAGCAGAGAGTTGGATCGGAAGTGGAGCAGCCGGGTCTTGACCCGGTGCCCATATGGAATGCTGACGCTTCAGGCCAGGGCGTTAACCCGCTGCGTCACAATACAGACCCCCCAAAATATTTTCATGTATTGTTCTCTTTTGCTTCAAATGGTCTTGTCACAAGATATAGAGAATTTGGATTTATGAGATTCTGTTTCAGTTTCCAATCCTACTAGGTTACGCATGTGACCTTGGACAAGTTTTTTAATTTTTCTGCTTGACAGGTTCTTCCTGAGTAATCATAGATAATTGTTACCGTCAGAGTTACTTGGAAGCTCACGTGAGAAAATTACATGGAAATACGCCATATCAACCATAAAAGGCTTTGCCAATATAGTGTCGTCCATAAGTGTTGTGACATATCTACACCTTTTTTTTTCCTACCATGTTTCATCTTGTGCCTCCCACCCTAGTTGATACATACCAAGAATCATCTGTCTACCTTCACCTGTTCCTTTCACAGATAGGGGGAAAAATACAGCAACAGGAAATTAGAAAACTTTGGTGCTTTTTTCCAAAATCGCATAATTAATAACTGGTATAGAACTGGAACCTAGATAATTGGACTCCATCTGGTACTTTTCCTGCATTATCATAATACTTACTTTTTTCATTGATTTTATAAATTTTTATGATTGGAATTATGTGTAAAAACTGTTGTAATTTGAGCAGGAATTTGGTGCAGTATTTGACTGCACTTGAGACACCCATATTCATATTGGAGTGCCAAGTCCTGACTCCTCTCTTGATTCCAGCTTCCTGCTAATGCACACCCAGGGAGGCAGCAAGTGATGGCTCCTGTACGTGAGTCCCTGCCACACACATAGGAATCCGATATTCAGTTCCTAGCTCCTGGCTTCAGTCTGGCCCAGGTCTAGTTGTTAGGATATTTGAGGAGTGAACCAGTGGAAGGAAGATCTCTGTCTCTCAATCTGCCTGTTTTATCTCTGTCTCCATTTCTTTCAATTAAATAGAAATAAGTCAATAAAAATAGAAACACTATAAAATTATATATAACTTTTAACATGGGAAGAACATCTATTATAAAAATAGGAGGGAGCTGGAGCCGGTGCTGTGGTGCAGCGGGTTAATGCCCTGGCCTGAAGTGCCGGCAACCCATATGGGCGCCAGTTCTAGTCCCGGCTGCTCCTCTTCTGATCCAGCTCTCTGCTATAGTCTGGGAAAGCAGTAGAAGATGGCCCAAGTCTTTGGGCCCCTGTACCCGCGTGGGAGACCCAGAAGAAGCTCCTGGACTTCTGGCTTCGGATCGGTGCAGCTTTGGCCGTTGCAGCCAACTAGGGAGTGAACCAGCAGATGGAAGACCTCTCTCTCTGTCTCTACCTCTCTCTGAAACTCTGTCTTTCAAATAAATAAAATAAAATAATAAGAAGGAACTTCAATTTTTTCTTGTATATTTTAAGTAATATTCTTTGCATTTTTTCCTGTAATATCACTAGAAATTGCTCATGCATCGCTGACTATAGGCAAGGGGCTTGGGAATAAGAATATGAACTACTGACCTGGGTCCAGTTGTGGAACTAGAGGATGTTTACAGGAAAGCATAGTTGTTTTTCCTAATTTGAAATAAAAAATTAGATACATACTCTAAAGATCCTAGTTTATATGGAGATACTATCAATGAATTATTTTTGTTACTATCAACTGAATTGTTTTCCATCCTGTAACATGTTTAAAAAGATTTTAGATATAAATTTGTTGCCACTGTGCCAAATTACATACCTCTTAAATGTGACTTCTTTTAAACGTTAAGGTTTTCATTTTAGTATTCCTTGAGTTAATGAGCACATCTGTCTTCTCTTGTCCATATTACTCATGATTTTAAAGGTCAAGCTCATTTTCAGTTCAACTGCACTGACACTTAAAATCTCTATCGTGTACATGGCATCATGGTAGGTAACAACTTGATTGACGGCATTAAAAATATATTTTCCCGAGTTTAAGGAAATGCATGATGCAATTTCTTTCTTGTCATGAACACTGTAAATAGAATATTCTATTAAAAGTATATTTGTTAAAGAAGCAAATGGTAATGGTAAGGTGAACCAACTGACATAAAAGATTTACTCAAAATTATACCTTTCAGTTTAAATTATGAAATAATTTCAGAGTCATTCAAATCTTGTTTTCCAAGTGTTGAGACCAGTAGGAATACTATAGTGGTCATGCCGCTGTAGACATTCCAGAAACCGAAGTGAATTTTGAATTGTTACATATATAATAGGCAAAAAATAATTGTTCGAATTGAGTATATGCTAACCACACTCTTTTTGTATAGAGAGGAGCTGAATTTTTAAAGATTAATTTGTTATCAGAGAATGGGATGGGGAGGAGTAGAAAGGGATGGACAGAGGTTCCTCAGAGGGTACAAAGCTTCAATTAGACAGTAAGAATAAGTTCCAGTGATCAGAGTAGGGTACAGTTCATAATGATGTATTATGTATTTCAGAATAGCTGAAAGAGGTTTTAAGTGTTTTCACCACAAAGAAATGATAAATATTTGATGGGATAGATACATCAATTAGCCTGATTTGATTATTCCACTAAATAAACATGCATTGAAACATCATATTGTATTCAATAAATATATTCAGTTATTATTTACCAATTAAAAACAATAAAACTCTAAAAAGGATATGTTTGTGAGTTAGTGCCACTCCTAAATGGTTCTTCACTTTATTGTCAGTTCTTTAAATTGCTTTCTTTGTGGTTTTGGTCAGCTTTACATGTAACTTTGAATATATATATTAAGTGACTTTCTTTGTCTGGGTTACAAAAGATGTAATAAAACGTGACTGTGGTGACTTTGTGACCAGGTAAACTTACAGGTGTAATAATGATCTTTGTGTGATTGCTGTTGTGACCCTGAAAGCTCTGGCGGTGATCTCTGTGTGATTATTTCTAGGATTTTGAATCTCTGTGGTACATTCTGAATGGCAATGACAATGACAAAGTTGATTATGGAGAATTTAAACGTGCAATTATTGGTGAAATGAATGAATACAGGAAATCATTTGTTCGTAAGGTAATTTTGCTAATTAAACTTTGTTAATTTTTTAAAAGTTTATTTTTATTTATTAGAGAGAGAGAGAGAAAAGGAGATATCACTCCTCAAATGCCTGTAACAGCTGGGGTTGGACCAAGCCCAATCAGGGTCTTCCACATAGGTAGCAGGGTCCTAAATACTTGAGCCGTCCCTGCTGGCATTAGGGTTGGAGCTAGGACTCTAATCTAGGACTCCAGTGTGGAATACATCTTAACCACCACCAAACACCTGTCTCAAAGTTTTTACTTTTAAAATAGATTGTTGACTTTATTATTTGAAACTTTAATGAATCACTAATTAAAATATTTTAGATATTTTTTACCTGCACTGTGTGTTGTGTTTAGTAAGCTCTTGTGCATACAGATCTGCCTAGAATAGAGCATATGTTTTGGAGAACTAAAATATAAAATTTTAGTTCACAAATTACTAGCTTCATAAATTGCTGTCTCTGTAAATTATTAGTTATATGACTAGATGTTTCATACCCAGGCTTCAGTTCCCCATCTTATATAGAGTTGTTAGAATGATTTAATGAGATACCACATATAAAATTTTTTATGGCTGTCCCAATGCCAATGGTTAATATATATTATTTTAGGATGATAACTAAAAATGTTTCTCTGATGTTTATAATATATACATAATAAATATTAAAATGATAACATTAAAACATAAACATTTAGATACAAACTCCCAATGGAAAATGCAAAATCTCTTTTCTGGCCAAGAGATATAATGAAAACCTAAAACAAATTGACCACCTAATATTTACAAATTTTCCTTTGTACTTTACATGTCCTTGTGATAGAGCTGAGTATCAGAGGTAGAAATTGGAGGATTGTCTTTTTCATAAATCTTGATAGTAAGAATAGAGGTCGAAAGAATAGTAGTGTATGCACTTACTAGGGCTGCTGTAGCTATGTGTCCTCACAGAGTTGTCCCATTGACATGATTGCATTCTATTCTCAGAAATACATCAGTCAAATTGGTTTAGGGCCACCTTAATGATACCATTTTAAATTACTTCTTTAAAGGCCCTACCTCAAAATGTAGTCATATTCTGAGGTACTGTGGATGAGAGGGGGGGGTCCCAATTCAGTCTATAAGGTACTATATTTATAGGAACTCAATGTTATAAATAAACAATCAGTTGTAATTATGACTCTTTTGCAAATATGGGATGCTGCTTTGGGCAGTTTTTGTGTTTCTATGTATTTAAATCTATTCCCCAGTGAAATGTTTTGTGTTATTTTATGATACTCAGAGTTGCATTGAATTGGAGGAACAATAAAACAACTAGCATTTCAAAGGGCAGTATTAAATTTCATATGAGCAAAGGAATAAAATTCATTTAAAGAGCCTTTTACTTCTTCATTGATTTTAGCGATGGAATATTTGCAAGTCTTCCTTTAAAAATTCAAATAGCTCTCCTAGCAATTTGTTTTGGCCATTTATCAGGGTTTCTTTTTTTTAAGTGAATCCTGGAACTGAAGTTATTTGAGGTCTTTTATCCAATACTTTAGTTTGGAGAAGAGAAAGTCAGGGAGAGGTTAAATTACTTTCTCATCATCAGGATGCTAGAGGATGATATAATTAAATACAAGTGTTCAGGATTCTTAATATATTGCTTCTGTATCTTTTTCTTTATATTAATGATGCTGCTTTTACATGAAATTTTCAAAAAGTTCATGAGAAATGCTTGTTATGAAAAAAGTAGGCATGGATTTCAAATTTTTTGTGTCAAACAATATTAATGTTCTATTTCTGTATGACTTTATATTTCAGTTTAATACTTTTAAACAATCCTGTTTATTGCTCAGAATTAACTTACTGCAAAATAGAAAATTAAGTTTTCATGTCTAATGATTTCATAGAAAGAATAATGTTTCTCTCTTTTGTAGGCCTTTATGAAACTGGATTTCAACAAAACTGGCTTTGTGAGTGTCATAGACATAAGCAAATGTTATTGTGCAAAAAAGCATCCCCAAGTAGCTTCAGGTAATTATTACAAGTCAAAATGTATTTGATTTCTAAAATGTTAGTTAATAAAAATAATACATTTAAATTATATTAATTTACTGAGGCCGTTAAAGGAGGAAATATGTAATTTTCTGAGCCTAAAACAAGAATTGTTTTCTGTCATCCATTTAAAAAGTCTTTGATTCATTCTACTTATGTAATTTATTAGAAAAAGAATATTTTCAGATTTAATGTAAATAAGATATCCCAAATGTTTTTCTATGAAATGGTATTAGAAATATAACATTTGTTGTAAATATTTTTCTGGTCTCAAAGGGGAGCAAAAGAAAATTTAGTTACAAATGATAGGAAGTAGGCATTTCCTGAGTGAAGGATTTTGAGGAGGTATGAAAATCCAAACTATTTGAAATATAAATTTTAGTAAGAAATGTTTTTCTTAGAAAAAAATTGTATTAAAGCTTACTGGTTCAGAGGATTGGAGGGAAAATAGCAGAGAACTATCTGCTGCCAAAACTTATGCTTTTAAAGATTAAGTCTTTATTAATTTTTAGCTTTGACTAATCACTAATGACTTTCACTAATCACAAATTCACTTTATTGTTTAAAATATATTACCATCGTTCCATAATATAATTACTTAGTCCTTTGTCATTCAACCTTAAAGTTGTAATTACAGAGCATTATCTTCCATCTGCTGGTTCAGTCCCCAAATGGCCACAAGGACTGGGACTGGGCTAGGCCAAAGCCAGGAGCCTGATACTCCATTTGAGTCTCCCACGTGGGTGCAGGTGCCCCAGGACTTGGGCCATCTTCTGTAGTTTTCCCAGGAGCATTAGCAGGGAACTGGATCGGAAAACAGAGCATCCAGGACTTGAACCAGTGCTCTGATATTGGATGCCAGTATCGTAAGCAGCAGCCCAACCCCTTATGCCGAAGTCTCATACTCCATTCAACCTAAATTTGAATAAATTTATAAATTTGTTTTTAATTTGAAAGGGTGACAGAGAGAGAGAGAGAGAGAGAGAGAGAGAAGGAGAGAGAGAGAATCCTCCACCTGCTGGTTTACATCCCAATGCCTGCAATAGCTAGGGCTGGACCCAGCTGAAGCTGGGAGGCTGGAACTCTGTCTAGGTCTCTCACGTTGGAGGCAGGACCCAAGTACTTAAACCATTACTGCTGTCTCCCAGGGAGTGTATTAGCAGGAGCTGCAATCAGAAGTAGAGCTAGACGCAACCCAGGTACTCCCTTACGGAATGTGGGCATCCCAAGCAGTCTCAGCTCTGGGCCAAATGCCCACATGAAACCTACTTTATTTTGTCTCTTTATAATCACTTTGTTCACTATTTCTCATGGTTTTAATAGATAAAAAGTTCTTGATCTTCAAAGCAGCTTTTTGTTTTGTTAATGTGAATGGCAGTTCACAATGTGTCCTAAGTTCCTTAGAGAACATCCTGTGTGTGGCTTTGTGAAAAAGATCCAACTCTTTTTTTTGCTCTGTTAGTCAAACAATTAGGGTGGTATTCACATTTAAGTCTGTTATTTAAAAGTAACCTGACTACAATATTTTAGAAGGTCACATAGATTCCCCAACCCCCTTATTCTGGTTTTGTATATGGGCCTCTGTTTATTCTCTTCTGAATATTTTCTGGCCGCTTTCTACAGCTTTCATCTTTCAGTGTTCTCCTTTAATTTAAAATATTCATGTTCTCTACTAGGATTAGTGGGTAGGTCACTGCGAGAGGGGTAGGATTAGAACATTAGTGAAATGAATTAATTCTAGTGGATATTTAAACAAATTGGAGGGTAGTTTGACATGAGTTCAAATTGTTACAAAGATGTCATAGGATGATTAAGTGTTCTTTTATCATCATCAGTCATTTCACTGAAATTTTAAGAAAACCATTCTATTTCATAGGCCATTCCACAGAGGAAGACATCAAATCATCTTTTCTAGAAACATTAAGAGAGTCCTGCAGCAAATCTGATGAAGTGTCATATGGAGAATTTGAAGATTACTATGAAGGTCTGAGTATAGGAATGGAAAATGATGAAGACTTTGTTAACATCTTACGTACTCCATGGGGAATTTAGTTTTTAATAATTCGTATGCCATCGGCACTAAACATTTTGTAGGAAGGATGAATTGAATGCAAAGTATGATCAAACACTGGAGTGTGTATTCCTAGGTATCCTCTTATTCTCTTGATCTTATTTTTTTTTTCCAAAAAACTTTAGTCTGTAAGGAGAAATATTCAGTTATAGGGATATGTGCTCATATACATATTGTCTATCCGTAAGTTTGTAAAGGTATGCCTTTTTGATTTACTACTCATTTTGATCATATCTTAGAGGTCACCGTTTTTTACTAGCCTCAACAGGAAACTGACATCTGCATCAAAGTATGTAAGAGCATCTACATAGCAACCAAGTCTCCCATCATTTCATTTTTTTCCTGCTTCCCCAGAACATAATTGCTACCCTTCTAAATTTGATGAATTTGAATTGAGCCCAAAGCTTACAAGACTGAAATAGTTCAACTTGTTTTAAACATATGGAAATGTTAAAGGAATTAAAGGATATGTGAGATATGTTTTCCAAGTAGAGTGATTATAGCTGTTTTCTATACCATTAATATTTAGAATGATGGAGATTTACCCCTACAGTGCTCATTACATTGACCTGTCTTGTAAACTCTTGTCTTCTAAAATATGTACCATTATTTGTTCAGCCAAGCACAATGTATTTATTCTAGTGACCATGTATTCCTTATTTTATTTTATTTTAGTTGAAATCCTATTACCTGCATAGAATTGTTATTTAGCTGGAAAAAACTTGGCATGAGAGAAGACGTTTCTCTTATTAAATAAAGACCTCAAAAGGTGCATTATTACATATATGGACCCAAGGGATAATGAGGAATTCTTACTCAAAATGTGAAATCATATTTTGTGTGATAAAATGTTATTCTACACATCTATTTTTGGTGTACTAAGCAACCAAAACATTTTTTCTAAATATGTATTGTTTAGTAGTATTATAATTATTCTCCCTAAATTCCTTGTTTCTCACTTCATGTTCACAACAGATAGAAGAGAGAACATTATGTAGTTGTTTCCAAATTCATAATCTTAACTTTATGTTAAGATAAAATAAATTGGAAAAAAAATGTGAACAACATAAGTGGTTCAAAAATGAAAACATGTACTTGGTAGAATTTGACTTTAGGTATATCAGTTCATCCATCTATACCTGGCAACATTATCAGAAATGTGATATGATATGAACTCAATAAATTCAAAGTTGTACTTTTTGCTATTTGAGGAAGTACTGAAACTTACTACTGAAATATCAGAAAGAAAATATGTGTAAACCTTTTAGTGCTGTTCTTACCATCTAAATTTTTTGCTTCTTTTGACTTTTCCCAGCAATATTATTAAAATTGAAACAAGATGCCAGAAGATAGTTGAGCAGAAATAAGTTTATAATATTATTTCTAAGCAATATTTTTATAGAAAAATTCATCCAGCTATAAACATCATAAATCCATAAATTGTTTTTGTGCTAAAATAACTAACACCAAGAATACTCAGCATGCATGTAGTATTTCTCACATAATGAATTTTTATTTCATTCTTCTTAATAAACATATTCTTAAAATTGGTATGCCATGTTTTCCTGTGAATATGATTATAAAATATGCTTTCATAATATAAGAAAGGGGAGGTACATCTAGATATGGCAAAATACTCAATAACTCTTCATGGTCTTACTATAAATAGAAACATGGGGTTATTTACGGGACCTGCACTTTTTTTTTTAAAGATTTATTTATTTATTTGAAAGTCAAAGTTACACCGAGAAAGGAGAGGCAGAGAGAGAGGTCTTCCATCTGCTGGTTCACTCCCCCAACTGGCCGCAATGGCCAGAGCTGCATCAATCTGAAGCCAGGAGCTTCTTCCAGGTCTCGCATGTGGGTCCAGCGTCCTAAGGACTTGGACCATCTTCTACTGTTTTCCCAGGCCGTAGCAGAGAGCTGGATTGGAAGTGGAGCAGCCGGGACTCGAACTGGTGCCCACATGGGATGCCAGCACAGCACTCCCACTATGCCACAGCGCCAGCCCTAAGGACCTGCACTTCTGAGGTGTAACTTTTTGTTGGTTAATTTCTCATCATTTTATATACTTGTTTCCATGTAGAGTTAGGAAATACATCAGCAATATATGTTTCTGTTATATTTTGTTCAATTAGAATTGGTGGTAAAATAAATCTTTTTGCTTTTGAATTTGTGTCAGTGCCCGCATCCTTCTTTGACTTAGGTATAGTAAAGTCTGTTATTTGTACTCAAACCAAAAGAAGGACATTTAGTAGAAGTGGCATTTTCAAACACTCCCAATATAATAATTGACTTTTGAAACTCTATCCTTTAGACTTCCAGGTTTAGAAAGAGTTTTTGGATAGCTTAAAATATATAAAATAATACACTATCTTGTTGCTACCTGAATTTTATAGTTAGATGTATTTTATAAATCTCTGTATCTTTGAAAGTTAGTTGTTCATTGCATCATAGAATTGCTTTTCTGGCATTCCATACTGTTTATTGAATTACTGAATGCTGATTTCACGGTTTTTATTCTTATATATAAAATGTTACAGAATTTTCAGAAAGTACTCACATTTTATTAGAAAGCAAAGTATATCATATACAAATGTTTAGCAATTCAGCATTTTATTGAAAAGGATATACATTTGCATGATAGAGCAATTACAGCATAGTAAAAACATATTCGTGTTTTAAATTTTATAGTATATGATATATGAACTAAATGAAAAAGTGACTCTCTAGAGTTACGTAAAATAATTCATAATCTTGATACAGGTACAAAACATATTTTACTCATTTTATTCATTACTTTTGATTTTCAGGCAGCCTAAGTTATTGTAAATTGATTTTGTAGAGAATTTTGTACAGTAGACTATGCTTATTGCAGATTACTTAACACTTTTTGGGATTACAATTTGTAGTGTTTGCAGAAATAAATAAATAAATAAATAAACTGTCTTTACTAGGTTGATCAGAAAAGAAAAAATATCCATGGTGAAGGTGCTTAAAGAAGTGAAAGGGGGAATGGTGCTGTGGCGTAGCAGGTAAAGCTGCCACCTGCAATGTCAGTATCTTATATGGGCGCCAGTTCGAGTCCCGGTGTCTCCACCTCCAATCCAGCTCTCTGCTGTGGCCTGGGAAAGCAGTAGAAGATGGTTCAAGTCCTAGGGCCCCTTCATCTTCATGGGAGACCCGGAAGAGGCTCCTGGCTTCGGAATGGCGAAGCTCCGGCCAATGCAGCCAATTGGGGAATGAACCAGCAGATACCAGACTTCTCTCTCTCTCTCTGCCTCTGCCTCTCTGTAACTCTGACTTTCTGCCTTTCAAGTAAATAAATCTTAAAAAAAAAATAGAAGTGAAAGGGACCGGGCCTATGTAACCCATGTCAGGCAAGAGGAGAGCAAAGAGAACCAAGAGGAATGCCTGGGCTGTATTAGTCTCTGACCGTGAAAAGAAGCTCCTTCCATTTTTATTTTATTGTTATATAGTGTTCTAGGAAAACTTATTTATTGGGTATGTTTGTTATAATGAAGAATAAACATTATACATTTGATCATTATTTATTCAGTCAATCATTTGTACTTGATGAGTAGCACTATGCATGCAATTGTTTGAATCTCTGAGATAGTCTAGCCTTTGCTCACACTCCTTATATCCACTCAGTCTCAAATCCTAACTTTTACTTTTGAATTCTCTATTACTGCTTCCAATGCTATGCCTTACTGCTCAAGTGTATTCCCTTTCATAATCTCTCTTTTCCACAATTCATTTTCAATCCATCTTATACATCACTGTTGGAGTGACTTTCTTAAAATGTACATTGCTGGGGTTGATGCCATGGCATACTAGGTTAAGCCTCCTCCTGTAGTGCTGACATTCCATATGGCTGCCAGTTCATTTCCTGGCTATTCGTCTTCTGGCTTGGGAAAGCAATGGAAGATGGCCCAAGTGCTTAGGCCCCTACACCCACGTGGTGGACCTGGAAGAAGCTCCTGGCTTTTGGCTTCGGATCAACTCAGCTTCCACTGTTTTGGCCATTTTGGGTGGGGGGGAGTGAACCAGCAGATGGAAGACCTCTCCTCTGTCTTTCCCTCTCTCTCTCTAACTCTGTGTCAAATAAATAAATAAATAAATATTTTAAAAAAATGGACGTTGCTTCTTCAATAAAATTCTCTAGTTTCCTGTATTTTGCAGAAAAGTTAAAACTCCTGACTTTAAAAATAAAACCTAAATGATTTGGTCTCCCTAAGCTCATCTCTCTATAATTAACTCATTCTCCACATTGTTCCCACCATTCTGAGCAACTTGCAGTTTTTAGAAACTGGATTGTGAAATTTCAAAGTTTAGAGCTTTCATACCTGCACTGCTACTGTTAAATTATTTTCTCCACTTAATACATCTAAATCAATTCATACAGCTCTTCTAATACTACTTCAAAAATGATTTCTTCTGAAATGTTAAATCATGCAAACTCTTAAATCTGAAAAGTTGTCCTCCCTTGAGATTCCACTGGCACATTGAATTTGCATTTATTCCTACAATCACCACTTTGCTGGTGTTTCTCCCAGTAGATTGCAAACTCTTTGAGGGTAGGAGCTATGTCGAATTTAATTTTGTCATACTGATGTCTAGTGCAGTGTCTGACATGAGGTAGGTATCAAATCAGTACTTGTAGGCTGAGTGAATGTCATTTAGGGAGCAGCAATTGTTATGGTTCTTGCATTTGAACAGTTTTGTATTAAAACACTTTAGCATATAGTATAAACCATGTCAATAGTACGAATGTATTATTCAGTATAAGCCTCAGCTAAAGGGGCAGTAAATTAGCCTAATACGATTCTCAGGAGGAATAAACTTTAGTGATCTATTTCACAAATGTGACTAATAAATGATAAATGCGCAGTATATTTCAAAATTCCTAGAAGAGTAGATTTTAAATGTTTTCCCCACAAAAGGAATGGCTGTGTGATGAATTTGCTTATTAGCCTGATTTACTCATTTCACATTGTAAACATATATCAAACATTGCATTGTTCCCCATAAATATAAACAATTATTTGTCAGAAATAAAATTTAAGAAGAAATACATCAGCTGAGGAATTTAGCTGTCATTTTAGCAACAAGGTCTCACTGCTTAGGGACTATACTCACATCAGTTATGTAGCTCAGGCAACATTTGATGTCTGGCTAACTAGACTTCTAGGTATAATAAGTTTATCTATGCAAACAGTGTCTTGTTAGAGCCCCCCAGTGAGACTGGATCCACCTATGGATTCAAAAGACTTCTGGTTGCCTGATTCTGTCAATAAGCTTACAATTCCTGCCCCTGTGTCCTCCGGTGAGTCTTTTATGCATACACAAAAGCCAAACTGCTGAGGTTTCAGTAGGCTTACAGAACAATTTATATAATCATTTTGTGCCTCTTTGTCAGGAAATGTTTGTTTAATAAATGTTTGTGTGGAAGAATTTGGCCTGAAATTTATGGCATTATAACTTGGGGTAAGGGTGCTAATTCTATCCTATCAAAGATTTTTTTGGGGAGACCCATGATTAATTATCAAAAGGAAACTTTTACTTGAGCATGACTAAATTGGTTTCAGTCAGTTCATAGCTGCAGTTCCCTACCAGACCTTGCATAGGCTCTGGAGACCCCCAATGGCATGGCACACTGTCCAAAACAGTAGAGTTAGAGATTATTATTAAGCTACAACTCATGTAACAGAGACATAAATGAGGCAGAGCGCATCATGAAAGATCTGCCTGTGTCATCCCAGGGAGTGAGAGTAATTCACTACTCTGAAAATATGCTTTCTTAAGGTATTATTGACATGGAAACCAAAGCATTCTATAGAAAACTAAAACAGGGAAGGAGTTTGGACATTTGCTTGTATAAATTGTGAAAATGTATTAATGGATACACACTTTCCAATCTCTGTTTTTAATGCTGTATCAGTTGATTATACAGTATTTGCATATCCAAGCAAGATAAAGTTATTTGAAAGGATTTGAATTTTAAAATTACTTATTAAGTGACAAATTTTATGCAAGGAGAAAACAATCAAGATCCCTGTTGCGTTTAACTTTTCTTTTTGTCAAGTTAGTTGGACTTCTGAGATATAGCTAAATGTGTTTAGATATAAAATGAAAAGATTCTCACCTTTGCGACTGTGTGTTGAGTTCCCTGGGAGTTTTAAATGAGGAGAAAGCTAATATAAAACAAATGACTGCATTTCTGTGCCAATTACAGAAGCTACACACTTTGCCAGCAATTTTAATTTGAGAGGCAGAGAAGGAGAGAAAAGAGACGTACATACAGAGAGATGATAAATCCATACAGAAAAATAGATCAAAGAGTACCCTCATGCACTGTGTCACTCTTCAAATGCCTGCAATGGCTAGGGCTGGACCAAACTGAAGACAGAGCCAGGAACTCAATCCAGATCTCCCATGTGAGTGGCAGGGACTCAATTACTTGAGTCTTTTCTTTTTTCTTTTTTTTTTTTCTTTTTTTCTTTTTTTGACAGGCAGAGTGGACAGTGAGAGAGAGAGACAGAGAGAAAGGTCTTCCTTTTGCCGTTGGTTCACCCTCCAATGGCCGCCGCGGCCGGTGCACCGCGCTGATCCGAGGCCAGGAGCCAGGTGCTTCTCCTGGTCTCCCATGGGGTGCAGGGCTCAAGGACTTGGGCCATCCTCCACTGTACTCCCTGGCCACAGCAGAGAGCTGGCCTGGAAGAGGTACGACCGGGACAGAATCCGGCGCCCCAACCGGGACTAGAACCCGGTGTGCCGGCACTGCAAGGCGGAGGATTAGCCTAGTGAGCTGCGGCGCCGGCCCCAATTACTTGAGTCTTTATCACAGCTTCTCAGGAACTGCATTAGCAGGAACCTGAAACTATGAGTTAGAGCTGGGAATCAAATCCAGACAGTCCTATATGGGATGTACAAGTACTAACTGGCTTCTTAACTATTCAGCTAAATGCCTACTCCCTATCCAGTAATTGCAAAGTCTTCTTGTAGAAAAGCCTTTTAGAAAATAAATATTGTTGAGGAAAAGTAATTGTGAGAAAGCATTCAGGTGACTGCTCCATCAAGAAAATATTAGTAACAATATAATTGATGTTGAGAAAAGATAACAGCCTTTGAAAACTATTGATTTCAAACTCAAGCTGTCTTGCGAGCTTGTTATATATCTTTGGGAAGATACTTAGCGTGATTTATTCTCTACAGTCTCTAACTGAAGGCTGATGTGGAGTGAATGGATACAGATGGACATGTAGATGTAGCCGTAGTTATAGGTATAGTACTTACCAGAGTGTAGCATGTAAATTTTACATGGTATATGTTTGTTGCTTCCTTGCTTAAAATAAAGAAATTAGTTAAAACTTCTTTATTTTTTCCTGATTAGCCCAACTGGAAATCATAGTAGCTATTCTCAATCTCTCTCTCTCTCTCTCTCTCTCTCTCTCTCTCTTTTCCTCTCTTTCTCTCTCTCTCTAAAAGGAAGTGATTCTTTAAAAAAATATTTATTTATTTGAAAGAGTTACAGAGAGGCAGAGGCAGAGAGAGAGAGAGAAGTGTCTTCCATCAGCTGGTTCACTCCCTAGTTGGCTGCAACGGCCGGAGCTGAACCGGTCTAAAGCCAGAAACCAGGAGCTTCCTCCAGGTCTCCCATTCAGGCAGGGGCCCAATAACTTGGGCCATCTTCTACTGCTTTCCCAGGCCATAGCAGAGAGCTGGATCAGAAGTAGAGCAGCTGGGACTCGAACTGGCACCCATATGAGATGCTAGCACTGCAAACGGCAGCTTTACCCCCTGTACCACAGCAATGGCCCCAAGAGCTATTCTCTTACAGAGACTTTCTTAAATGGAGAGAAATAGTTTGTGTGTGCCATTCCTCCAGCATCTAATAAACCTCTCAGTTCTCTTCCTTCATCAGAACTCATGAAGGAACATCAAAATCTTGTGTTAAGACCATTAACTCCTTTCCTTCGAAGTAACAGGTTAGAAAAGGGATTAGTAATACATTTTCTTTATTCGAAGTAATTAGGAGATGATAGGTATGTAAAATTAACTTTATAGAAACTTTAAAAAACATTTCTGATATTTTCATGTGTGCACAAGGACTTTGATGACTGTGAATCCTGTAAGAGACTGTGTTTTCCAAAAATGGATGTAACAGTATCTCTCACCACCTGTACTCTTCTTACACAGTAAATTTGATGTCACATAGAGAGGTGTGGTCTGTGTCCTCCTGATAGTAATTTCTTAAAGATGTTGAACTACAATATAAAGTAAAATCTTTGATGAACACATGCAAGAGTTACTCATTACACTGTGCTAGTTCTTTTTTTTTTTTTTAACTTGAGAGTCAGAGTTACACAGAGAGAGGAGAGAGAGAGAGAGAGAGAGAGAGAGGTCTTCCATCTGCTGGTTCACTCCCAAATTGACCGCAACAGCCGGAGCTGCACCAATCTGAAGCCAGGAGCTAGAGCTTCTTCCAGGTCTCCTATGTGGGTGCAGGGCCCAAGGACTTGGATTATCTTCTACTGCTAT